GGCGTTGGTTCAGACATGGAACAACGTTCCCAAGCCTTCTTCAGTTGCTTTGTGTCGTCTATGCGTCAAACCCGCATCAACGCCTATTGTGGACACACACGATACTGAATTTGTGAACTGATTTTTTTGACACATCTCTACAAGGGCGTGCCACGATGTTTAGTGTCATATCATACAGATTTCGATATTATCATGTCAACAGTTAAACAGTGATTAAGGAAAACACCACACATCCTGTTGTTATCTTTTTGCATTAAAACATGGCACAACATCAAATAATGCACATTTACTGTATTCCAGTAGTATATTTAGAGATTCGAAATGTTCTTTAAAGGTGTTGACGCGTGCACGTGGTTGTTGAGATTAAATAAAGAAATAACGAAAGTAGAATCCATGCATGCATTTTAATTCATATCAACTTAAAACAGAAATGCAACGCAGATAATATACTTGTCCGCTTTTATAACATTGGGTACAACCTGTGGGGCCCATTCCTGGTGACCCTGATGTATCATGCTGGAATGTTATTAAAAAGCGCCGTAAAATCCAACTCACCTGTATATGATGGATGTATATATACGGGACGCACTTCCCTATATATGGCATGCATTGCAAAAACGTCTTAAGCGGGGATTCTGGGTAGGAACATGGGTCATAGGTCATGAAGTTATGCTGGACGAGGGGGCGATCTCATGAGTGATGACAAGACTTTATTAATGATCATCTTCTTTATTTTGACAATGGCGACGTTTCGGTATAGATTCTTATACCGTATACCGAAACGTCGCCATTGTCAAAATGAAGAAGTTGATGGTCCATAAAGTCTTGTCATCTCTATACCACCAACTTCGAGAATGCCACTCAAACACATCTCATGAGTCCGTTGTTCTTTGCATCAAGACAGTGTTAATTGTTTACAGCATTTACTGCACTGGTTATTTACATGCGGTGAGCAGCCTCCTAAATTTATTATCTGGTTCGCTTGAGTTATATTTCTCAGTTCTTATGGCAAACCCGTGCCAAACAAACACCATTGGTCTGTAGCTGATCGCAATACTAGATATTAATTCCAAACCATATTTGCCTCCACGGTATTAAAATGGGCACATGTTGCAAACACAGGTAATACGTGTACGGACACTGTAGGTACGGCAAGACACAACGTGAGAAAACCCAGCGATTAGGTCATTATTTTGCGCAGTAAACTATTGAAGTGGGCCGTATATTATGATCTTTGGATGTTAATGGTGCTAGAGAGTGTAGTAAAAATGACAACACAACACGAGCTGCTCGAACAGAAATAACAGGACACGACCCATTTAGGTCACAATGTCCTCTGTCTGGTGGCGAAACACAAAGATGTTGTACTGAAAGACACGTTTTAGTTTGGAAGCGGCTTCATTTAACAAAACACACACTATCATTTGGACTCTTTTATAAAGGAATCCTCAGATATTCTGAATACAGTTTCCAAAAAATACAAAAACAAAAATTATTGCCAAAATATACTCATGGAAACGAATAAGGGAACACATGAAAGTACAAGTGTTCCTTTATTCTTTTTCAGGTTTCTTCACAAGGTATGTATTGCACTGTGGGTGAAATTCAGGAAATATATAAAGAAAAACTTGTACTTTCATGTGTTTCCTTATTCGTATCTATGAGTATATATAGAAACATGTACAGCTGATCGATAATCTATCCCATAATCCACTGTATAAGTACATCGCTGTTCCGCTCCTTACTGTTTCACTCACAGAAGTGAGGTTTCATACTAACTTTCATGCATCATGAAGTCAAGTATCATTCCGACTTTCATGTATCCTTTGTGAGTATCACGATTCATGAAACTGTATATCCACAGCAAGCAAATCCAAATTTTAAATAAAGCCATGGGAAGGCACATATTCAGAGTGTTATAAAAATCTTAGTTGAACTGGCTACCATACATTCCTTATAATAGCAATGGAACGACTGCACCAACACCAACAACACCAGCGACGATTACACGTGATGAGCGAGGTGTTACCTAAACAATGCTATGGATAGTTGGTAATGTTTATGTGATTATGTGATTATTTTACGAATATCATCCCTGGTGAACGACACTTCAGAGTGGTGTCGGTCGTAATACCTTGAACTTATTTTCAACTACCTTCTGCAAGGTACCTTATATCAGTATGACGAAAATAAAGATTATTTGTGACAGATAACAGATGGAGAACAATGACATCTCTTATATGGGATACATATATAAATAGTTCCAAGATTAAAAGGTCGATGCAAACAGTTATTCTTTTAACTTACTGTGCTTCACAACAAATGCATTATCCTTCTAGTCCACTAGAAGCCTAATATATGTTTCACTGACTAACTGAATAACAATAGTAGTATCTGTCATTTCTGTGCGCTGCGCATGACCGGAAACTCATCATTCCTTCTTCAAAACGATTTGCTCGGAGGTTGTGTTCACGATATTCTCTGATATTATTTCAGTGTTTACTCTTTCTTCTGGCCTTTTTTGTGTTTCATTGAGATTGTGTTTCAATTTTGATTGTTACACAACTATACATGTATATTGGTATAAGATTCGTGTTTTCTGTCACGTTGCGTGTTTGATCAGTTTGTTTACTGGTTGTTTAGTTACTGATTATTTATGAACGATAACAGACGAAGGACAATGACATCACTTATAACTGGTGATAAATATAGAAATAGTTCCAAGATTGTAGGTCGATGCAAACAATTAATATTTATCCTGTACGAAAAGCTTGTTCAGCTTGACCTGAGCTACTCTACATATGCATGACCCGGGACGTCAAATGGCACAAACGGCAGGTCGAGTTAACTTCATTAAATAGGGGAGCAGAGAATGTTATTGATGTTGCGTTCTGGCGAAGCATGCATACATGGATTCGTTACAGCCCGAATCGGAAACATTGAACCCTCTGTAGCTTCTTTTTATAAAGAAAGCTATGACATTTCAGACGATTTCTCGACACTGAGATGTCAAACGGCGACCTTGTCTCGGCTGTTCGGACATGTTGACAATCAACTGACAAAGGTGCACCCCTTCTTAATAATAGGCCCAACCAGTTGTGACACGGTCACGCAATGCATTAGTATTCACCTGATCAGGTCAAGCTGAACAAGCTGCAGTATTGTCACGAGTTCGTGGTTTTGGATACCGTCACGTATTTCACAGTTCGCAGAAGGCCATCCTTCTTCTTCCAGTCTCCGCTGGAAATGGCCATCGACCACAATTCACACCTTCACCCACTAGACAGGCAGCTGCTACTGTATTTCGTTTAGCTGTGCAGTGAGACATTTTGAGAACTGTCTTCAGTACGCAACTTTTACAATCATTAAAATTAGGGTTGAGCTTTTAAATGGGTTTGCTGACGGATGTGCAGAGCCACGTGACCAAACATGTCAAATCTATCCCGAGCATTCCCTGACGCTCGTCAGCAAGGGTCACTAGCTGTTAACCATTGTTAGCTTCGGATTTAAATGTTCTCAGGTGTCTCAGTCTGTGACAAATAATTTCTAATTGAAGCGTCACACCTTTGACAAGCCGTTAAAGTTCGTTGAGAAAATAATATTTAATATTGGTCAACCGATTTTCATTCAGTTAACGGTCTCTTCAGCATATGTGAGAAAAGACACAGTGAATCTTGCACAGTGAATCTTTAACAATTTGCAAAATATGTCATCTTCAAATGACAATTTAACTTAAAACAAACCTGGGAGTAATTTTTCTCATTACAGAAATAGCGAGTGAAATATAGAACTAATTAATAATTTGTAGTAAAAAGACATGCTGAGAGTTGTTAATTAAGTGTTTAATATTGGTAACTACTACATAAACAGACCGTATCATGTTATTTGAAGCGGTAGGCGGAATGGGAAGACTCCGAATACTCACCGCAGTTGGTAGGACCTACACAGCAACATATAATTAACTACCAGTTGTCCGACTTGCGGTTATGTGGAAGCTGCTCTGGCTGAGTGGGTTAGATGGCTGACCTTGTGTGCGTTTGAATCCAAGGTGGGACCCAACCTAGCAAAAATACTAGAATCTGTACTTTACACAGAAATTGTAATCCCAAACAATACATATGCTTCATGATATGAATATATTAAAGCTGCTTTTCACCAGTCTGCTTGGATATACTTGGCTGTAGGAAACATTACAACCACACTCTTGTGGAAAAGGAAAAGGCATTTATTCTTCGTTCAGACAATCTTACCTGTAACTGTACAAAGAGTTACCGCTGATAATACATAAACATTTCAGGTCCTTAAATATAGGATTCTGTGAATAATAATTGAGAAATGAAGGGAATTGCAATAATCATAACCCTGAAAAGACACTATCATTTATATAATACACGATAACTGATAATGCATATGTACAGAAACAAATCAGTTATATTGAACATGTCAACAAATCTGTTTAATTTCTACATCCCAGACACACAGGCCCTCGTGTCTTTGCGAACATAGAAGATTAAACAAATTATATTTTTGAGATGACCCCAGACTCGAAATGCTACACAGTACAATACATTATGACAAGACCGGACACTTCGGTGCACCCTACCTGTGCACCTACATGGCCTCGTGGCACCTACCAATTCTTTGTTGTTATACATTAAGCAGTCGACGAAAGAAAATATTCCCGCGAATTTATATAGAATGTGCAAATGTACAAGCGTTGACCAATCAGAGAGCTTGCTTCGACCACACACACCCCACGACCCACCCCCCGTTTTGTGCGGATATATCGTCATCTACTAGTATTTGTGTCAAGATCGTTTAGTTGGGGGCCAAAATCGGGTTTCAATCGACTTGCAGAAATAACAATAAAGAATCGGTAGGTGTCATTAGTGGTGATCGATAGGCCAATCATCCATGATAATGTTCACATTACGTTTTAATCGATTACATGCGATGGTAGCGTAGATATTGGCAAAGCAGGCGGGTAGCTAGTGTGCACCGAAGTGTCCGGCCTTGTCATAATGTATTGTACTGTGAAGCTTTTCGAGTTGGGGGTCATCTCTAATGTTTTATTTTTATGTCAGTCCCCAGAAACTTAGTATGGGCATTTGCTCAAATGTACATTCCATACAACTAATGGTATAAATGTATAAATCGGTCTTCCCACATGTGAAATATAGATGGAAATCCCTTTAGCTGTCGATACCAGACATTTAAAATTGATATTTTAAACCTAAATGTGCTCTGTTTTAAAAAACAAAACAAAAACAAAAGAAACAACCCTTGCAACAATGAAGTTTTGTGGCAGACATTTTCTGGATGATTTTGTCCAACTGTCAGAAGCATAATAATATATTCAAGTACTTTCGGGAACGCTATATTTCTTTCGATTAAATCTCAGGCGGTTGTTCCCTTATGATTAGCATATGATAGCATTGCTTTGTTAGGAGAGGCACACGTTATAATCAACATATGGTCGTTCGGGGTTGTGCTTTCACATACACATCTCATGACTAGTTCGACGTTGTAAGTTCTCCACAAACACTGTAAAAGTTGCATGGCTTAATTTAAACATATCAGAGCGCCTTCAGTCACGTTTTAGTATTCCTGATATCATTTCTAGACACTCATAGCCTGAGGTTACATTCTCCTTGGCATGTCTTCACAAGTGGTGTCATAAATTGTGTTGAGGGAAGTGCGAGGCAGATAACCAACGGCAATGACATTTAAAGAGAACCAAGATAACCATTCGGGTCAAGGTCTGCGACTGCTCATTGTATATCTTCGATGTTGACGGAGAAAGACGTTACTGTGGATGTGATGACGGTCGAGTTGTGTCTCCCCAGTTGTAATAGGCGTACATAGGGGTGAAGTCTCCCTGGGCATGGTCGTTTTCACAGTCATCTTGAATGTTAACATTGCCAAACATACATTCGGCATACGATGGTGGAGCTAAAAGTTCAAACATACATAATATTTTGAAATCACGGATAAGGGGTAAAACTGTTTGGACTGCAAAGTGTGTTATATCGAAGACAAAGACATTTGAAATGGTTAATTACAATGATAAAGGCGGAGTGAGTGAGTGAGAGCACGTTAAGGGAGAAGCTACTCAGGCTTTGCTCAAGAATAAAATGTAGGGGGAAGCGCGCCAGGCCATTGAGAAGACTGACTGACTGACTGAGTTTAGTTTTACGCCGCTTTATATTTAGCAATATTCCAGCAATATCACGGCGGGGGACACAAGAAATGGGCTTAACACATTGTGCCCATGTGGGGAATCGAACCCGGGCCTTCGGTGTAACGAGCCAACGCTTTAACCACTAGGCTACCCCACCGCCCCCATTGAGAAGAGCTCCTGAAGGGAGTAGTACGTCAGGCAATGAGGGAAGATGCGCGTCAAGCATTGAAATGAGCCCCTGCAGGGAGAAGAGCATCAGGCACTGAGAGTGAGTGAGTGAATTAATATTTAACGTCACATCGGCAATGATTCAGCCATATCGTGACGAGAACAATTTTGACCTTGATAAAAAATATGTGTATATTATAAAATCTGTCATCAAAGGACAATAAAACAACTAGATTATGACAGTTAGAATTAAAACTAGCATGTTAAGTTGAAACAAATAGCCTTTTTTGGACAATACAATATAAAAACAGGCTATAGATCGGCAACAACTGAATTTAGATCACCATACTAGGGTCCATGGGGACTTACAACATTTACATTATCCCTTCAGCCGTTGACGATGGTAGGAAAACTGAGCCATAATTTAAAATAACAAATATTCTACGATTAAAAAGCTTGGTAGAGCTAATCAGGAGGACAATAATTTTCAGCGCGTCAAGCAGTGAGGAGAGCACGTAAGGGGATAAGCGCGTCAAGCATTGAGAAGAGCACGGGAGGATAAGCGTATCAGGCGTATTAATAAAAAAGGTGAAGGGTGAAGCGCGACACGTATTGAGAAGTGCACGTGAGGGGAGAAGGGCATCAGGCATTGAGTGAGTGAGTGAGTGAGTGATGCTCATGGTGATGATGACTTTATTGTCTGGTCCAGACTCGATTATTTACAGTTAGTAAGTGAGTTTAGTTTTACGCCTTACTCAGCAATATTACAGTTATATGGTGGCGGTCTGTCAATAATCGAGTCTGGACAAGCCAATCCAGTGAGCAACAGCATGAGCATCGATCTGCGCAATTGGGAACCGATGACACGTGTCAACCAAGTCAGCGAGTCTGACCACCCGATCCCGTTAGTCGCCACTTACGACAAGCATGGGTTACTGAAGATCAATATCCTAACCCGGACCTTCACGGGTGGCATCAGGCATTAAGAAGAGCAAGTATGGGGATGAGCGCTTCGGTCATGGAGAAGAGAACACTAAGGGAGAAGCTCCTCATTCATGGAGAAGAGAACACTAAGGGAGAAGCGCGTCATTCATGGAGAAGAGAACACTAAGGGAGAAGCGCGTCATTCATGGAGAAGAGAACACTAAGGGAGAAGCGCGTCATTCATGGGGAAGAGCACCTGAAGGGAGACGGAATTGAAAAAGGAAAGTAAAGGGAAGAAGAGTGAGCGCAGAGGAAAAGGACAAGTTGAGTGAAGAAGAACGGCGTACATGGAGACGAAAGACCAGAGCGGTGAAGAACGGCCAGAGTATATATTAGCGAGTTGGGAAATGAGGACGGGTAGAGGTTTTTATACATTTCGGGAAGCTAAACGATAACGGGAAGGAAGTTAAACTCACTCAGTGATTCTGCAGGTTGTACATCAGCTTGTGCGCCTTCCTCGAAAAGCTGATCCTGGTTTGGACCGTGGACCTGAGAATCAGGCCTATTCTGTTCCATTGCGGACCTCAGCGGTACTGATCCAATGAGTACTTTCAAGGGTATTTCTAACTTCAACGCAGGACCAGCAGGTTCCACACAAAACTGAAATCGGTTAATATGTCACAGAAAAAATGTTTTCTCTAAATATAATAAAAAACAACAGAATTGCAAGTTCACATGGAACTGAGACACAAATTGCCCCGAAATGAAATTGAATGTGTCTGTTTTACGAAAATGAAGTATTATTCTTTCATTCTTTTTCAAAGTGGTATTCTGTCATTGCTAAAAAGAAAGTTACTTCATTCAGAAGGAGATGAACTTCCATTGAACAGTCTTTTTTAGTTTGTTTCGTTCTTCCAAAATTCCAGCTGCATGACGACGGTTTATACAAAATCGAATCTATATCAGTCAATCAAGTGGTTGAAATCACGAGCATCGATCTGTGCAACTTTGATATGACCAGATCCTATTAGTAGCCTATAACGACAAGCATAGGTTGCTGAAGATCAGTCCTAACATGGATTATCACGGGTAGGTATATTTAGATATACACATACCTTAACATAGTAATCAATGTCGATTATACTGCAACCGTTTAAATTGGAAGGTGGAGCTGGGGGTATCTTTAGCAAATCCCCGGTCCATATATCCGATTCCCCAGGAAGGATTTCACCATGGGATATTTCGCATATTTTCTTCATGATGGTACGTGATCTTTTTGTTGTATGATAAATCACAACCTAAAAATGTAAAAGTATCAGAAGATAATGATACGAGAATATTAATCAACATTTTATCACAAACGCATCTTCCGTGCACACCATTAAAAGCGGTGCTAAATTTAAGGATTATTGTATATATAATCATGTGTGTGTGTGTGTGTGTGTGTGTGTGTGTGTGTGTGTGTGTGTGTGTGTGTGTGTGTTGCACATGGTGTAACGTAACATTCAGAATAATATACTTTTATAAAATTACTCTGAAAGTAAGTTCCTCTCATCCACTGGTACTGTTTTATTTTAATCTTAATTCTTTAGTGTTGACGTGGACATGATACTTATCAAGCGAAAATGATTGCAGTATCCAATACGGTTCAAAATAAATGAAATATCCAGTGAAGTATATTCACAATGATATGCCTCATGGATTCATCACATTTAGTTGTTTGCAACGCTTATCATTTACTCAATCATAGCAACTTATTTAGTTGAGGCATAAATACAATAAATATTGCTATTTGAAAACTATTATCAAGGTTTACACGAAACGTAGTAATTTATAATGTATATTAATGAATGATTTAGTTAAAATTTAAAGTTACATCAGAAGTATTTCAACAATATCGTTATAATGTATGTGAATTTCTCACAGACCATGTAGAGCTCAGCAAATGATCTCTTCATTTTTCTGTTACTGCGGTTGATGATCTCAGCTTTGATAGGGATAGATTCACCCGGAACAAAGCCACATCGGTCAATTTGGAACCTGCAGCTTATTGGGCCGGATGTACAGCACAGGCAGCAGAGTGTTTCTTGGTCTTCTCCTCTCAGACCTAGCTGCAAACAACAATTACAGCAGCAGGTTTAACAAGCATATACAAGTAACAACATGGTATTCAAACACTATGAGCTGCATAATGGACATTCGGTGAGTTGTCATTGCTGTGATCAAGAGTTCTTCATATACTTGTGTCAAACTGGACATAACTGAGTTCTCCAAAAAGTCAAAACAGACTCCACCCACGCTCGTCAAACAACACAGGAAAACTTTCAATCTAGCAGAGTCACTCAGCGGCCTCCAAACAATAACAAAAAACAAAACAACAACACACAACAACGGATATCCGGACACATTCGTTTTTACGTAAATCGTCCGGATAATTGAATATCCGGATATCTGGATGTTTGGTTTTCATACACCTCAAGGAAAATCCAAACGAGAAGGGTAGTGGGGCTGCCTGATCCTCCGTATGGGCATTGTCTAAAAGCAGTATGACACGCCTACCACGCGACCTCATCTGTCTATCAAAGTAGATCAGCCAATCTCTGAACAGGTCAGATGTCATCCAGGCTTCAGTGTTGAATCTGTAGCGAGCATACACTTCGGGGTTGAAATCACTTCCGAAACAACGTGGTCCAAAATGTTTGCTTATGTTATCAAAGCTTACTTTGGGATTTTGTTCTTTGTAAAGACATATCTCTTTCGTTTCCTTGGCTGTCACTGCGTAGCGCTTGCGTTTAGTAGGTTGACTAGCCATTTGTGATCAATTGAAAGACCAACTGACTTGAATATCGACGCACTGCACTTTTATTGCTTTGACTGAATAAACAACTTAACAGTTAGAACTCAATGGTTAACTCGGTCTCAGCTAGCCCTCTAATCACCACTAATACCTTGATGATCATTAATCCGGATTAGCCGACCATGTCTCGTGTCAAAACACGTGGGACTCTCGCATTTCCCTTCACACGGTTAGCGGTAGATCAAAGCTTCGTGCGGTTAGGTGAGTCAATTTTGTGTTGATTTAGCCGGTTTGTTTGTAAAATGTACCGTCCGGAAACGGAAACCGAATATCCGTTATAGACAGTAACTTTTATAACGTAAGAGATTGTTTTTTTCTAAAAATTGACCGGAAGGCGAGGTTTCCGGATATCTGGGGTCCGGGTATCCGAGGTCTCACTGTATTTCTAATCAATATTGGCCTTCCAGGTTGCATATAATCCTGTATAACTAGTACCAACAGTAAAACCAACAAAACACATAACCTGAAAAACCCCAACAAATACCAACCCAACGACCCGCTCCCTCGGCACAAACCCGTGAAGATCCAGGTTAGAATAGGTCTTCAGTAGCCCATGCTTGTTGTAAGAGGCGACTAACGGGATCAGGTTCGCTGACTTGGTTGACATGTCATCGTATCCCAATTGCGTAGAACGATGCTCATGCTGTTGGTCACTGGATTTTCTTGTCCAGACTCGATTAACAACAGACTGCCGCCATATAGCTGAAATATTGCTGAGTGCGGCGTTAAAGACCAAACCAACCCACCAACCGTCAGAATAAATTTCAAAATTTACAGTATCCAAATATTTTAGCACGGTAGTAGAATTTCGGGTGTTAATACTCTGTTGTGCACACGGCATTCCACTACGCAGAAATATTTACACAGGCCATACCTTAAAATATAAACTGTAAATCGTACATATATGTATTAGTGTACGTTCAGGGCATAATGCAGGACCCTAGTAGCAGCCTGGAAGCCTGGGACCTGTCGTAACTCTAATAGTTTATCACAGGCTTACGAATACCGTAGCACTACGAACATTTTGTGGTTCGGAGATACACAAAGCGGCCTATATAAGTGTTCAGGCGATCGTAAGCTAATATCGAGCTAAACTATCAATGCCTATTTCCGTAGATCCGTACTTTTTATACTGAACTCAAAAGAGACGATAGGATCACTTTAAATTATTGTCCCCACCAGGAGTACCAGCATTAAAGACGGCCCCTAAATACGGGTCGAGGACAATTGCCATCCGGACCATTGCCACCGGACATTTGCCACCTAGGACAATTGCCACCAAGGACAATTGTCACCCGGGCAATTGCCTCCTAAAACATAAAACAAATAATTAATTTCAGTTTCTTTACCAACTTTTATTGAGTTTAACATGGTAATCCATACCAAATAATAACATATTATTCCATATAACCAACTTTCAGCAATACAATGACAGCTGTCATGAATTTTATGTACGCTTCACACGGGACGGTGAATTCGAAAATATATTAATTGTATCGGATATTGGGATTTCCTTTTTCAGCTATGTATGCTAACCATCAAAAGTTTAGACTCATTTAAAACACTCACTATATGTTATGTATATATATAGCTACATCGAGGATGAATTTCTCCACTAACTTAGGGGAACCATCTGCAAACATTATGCTGATGAATTGCACGGGGATCATGCGTCAATTCTCTGAAAAGCATGTGCAAATATCATGCATGTGAACAGCTGCGTTTTGTTAAGAATTCGCCAATTTTCACACAGTTTCTTGATTGATTGAACTCATGAAAATAATTTTTTCAACGTTACGAAATTGTTTGTGCAGTACATCAGTTCATGTGTAAACAGTACCTTTAAAAATTATGGAATATTCACCAAAATCTAGTTTAGAACAGTTGACTGAAGTAAGTGGCTACATTTACACTAGTAAGTCTAAACTTTTGATGGGTAGTATATCTGTGTTGCAAGAACAGGCAACATCACTCAAAGATGAGAAGAGTGTCAAATTCATGTGTAAGTACACTGCAAGGTCAAAATGGTGATACTGTGTGCGCGGAAGACGAGTAATCGGAAACAAATGATAATCCTTTGAGGAATGTGAGGTTGCAGTTTCCCTCTCACGTGATTGACTGGAAGATTTGGAAGATTTTTTGCTAGTCTTTCGCCTTACCAACAGTACATGTAAGTCTTCTTTATCTTGGCATGATTTATCAATGGCATATGGCAAGAGATTGACTCCATGAGCACGACTCACACGACCTCACTCATCTTTTGTTGCAACCATTGGCTTCGAGTGACCCTTTCTGACCTAGCATTCCTACGTGGATGGATGGAAGTGACATGATCATAATTTCCATAATCATGAGAAACCTCACTGTGCCATTCCTACTATATAATAAGCATATGTTAGTGAACAATTGTCAAACAGTAATGATACTTGCACAGACAAGTAATACGTTCAGCAAACACGGGAAATGTCTGTACTATGACCACAAATGCATTTACTGCCCAGATGTTAACAATTTGCTGGATATTCATGAAATGATAGGAGCAAAACTGACTGTCTTAACACATTCCCCTTCCGAGCCGTAAAGATACGGGTTAGAATTGATCTTCAGTAACCCATGCTTGTCGTAAGAGGCCACGTACGGGAACGGGTTTACTTGCTTGACACAGTCATGTCATCGTATCCCAATTGAGTAGGTCGATGTTCATGCTGTTGATCACTGGGTTGTCCGGTCCAGACCGCCGCCATATAGCTGGAATATTGCTGAGTGCTGCTTAAAACTAAACTCACTCACTCACACATTCCCTTTCCACTATCATGTATGCTCTTAAAACGACTAAGATTTGAAGTACAAACAACCAGATGTATGTTCGACATACATTATATAAGGCATGGTAATTTGTGAATTTGTAATGTGTCATGTGTAGTGTTAAAACATTCTACTTTAAGCAAGTAGCTAATGTATACATAACGTCTTGTGAATGTCATATCTTGTTGAATGAACAGAAAATATCAATGAAAAAAAATGATCACCGAATACTGACCTAAAAAACATCACCTACCATTGCCTCAGGTTCAGCGTTGAGGTCGAGTAAATTAGCAACTGTAAAGATCTTTTTCGTTGTGTCATCAAATGTCCACGGCTTGGTAATGGTGCCTTTCAGCCAGTACCGTACCCTCCCCAATGTGGCTTCAAATGAGGAGGGTATGCCGGGTGGCAGTTTGTACTGAAAGGGGTATGTGTAACGCCCTGCGGATAGACTAGCGTTGTCCCCATCTTCTCCCGTCGCTGAAATTGCAACGTTGTCGTTAAGAGAAGATTGTGTACTTGAAGCAAACATTTCATGTATGTTCAGTGAGGCTGAAGACAATTGAGACTACCTTCATGTGTGTGAGAAGTGTTTCATAATATACTATTCACACTTTGCTAAGGATCAAATCATGGATTCAACAGAAAACTATGATGTGGGGTCAAATTTGGTTTAAATATCTAAGCTTATTGTAAGCATGGATCCGAGGTTTCAGTATGTCATTTCATCTTGTGGAACCCATACCTGCTACTGACGGTGTTGTGTATATGCCACAGACTCGTTCCATAATTTGCAAAATGGTTGATTGGTGCCATGTTTATGGTTCCTCATGTATCAAGTGCATAAGGCCAGATTCAAGTGACTGTATCCAGAGGGATGCATATAGGCCAGATTACGTTTAAGTAAGTGACTGTTTTACCTTAAAGAGTGGTTGCCATATTGTTATTTATCCAGTTTTAAAAAATAGATACAATTTTCAAATTATGAATCTACGTTTCAGTAAAGTTGTGAAGTTTGTGTGATCCTTCTAGAATAGTAATGACCTAGCAAAGTCTAACCTGTGAGTATTCTAGAATAATGTTATGCGAGATCCCACATTAGTTTGGTTGTTAAATATACTCTTGTGGATGCCAATAATGGTTAGAGCGTCCACCCGAGCGGAAGGTCGCGGGTTCGATCCCCGTCCGCGTCATACCAAAAGACGTTAAAATATGGTACTTGTTGGTCCCTGCCTGGCGCTCGGCATTACTGGGTACAACAAGGACTGGTCGGCTCGGAGTCAGTTTAATGTGTCTGAGTAGGGTATTCATGTTTCACTGCGGCATGGTATCTCAGTGGGCTAGCACTATAAAACCAGCTTCAGTCTGGGCTAGTACAAACCAACCGCACATACACATACACATACAGTACACATACACACGCATGCACGTCGTCATATGAGCGAAATATTCTCAAGCACGACGTTAAACCCAATTTCATCTCATCTCTTAATTCGTGTGTGTAAGTTAACTTATTGTTTCATTTTGGAAATCGATACGTAACATAACAGATATATTTCTCGTATCTGACGGCGTAATCAAGGAAGGCTGTGTAACCTATCACGTTTAAGACATACTAAGTCTTGTGGTGATTGGACAAACATGGGTTTCTCGCGCAACACTATTTTAGTTTAATGAAGTAATGTTCATTCTCAGGACTTTTGCTGGATTACATTCATATGACGTTGTGTCGGCCGTTCGAGTACAACGTATCTAAATATATGTTGCACCCATACATGTAGAGCGGTGGGGTAGCCTAGTGATGAAAGCGTTCGATGTCACCCCGAAAGCCCGTGTTCGATTCCCTACAAAGATGCAATGTGTGAAGTCTGGTGTCCTCCTCCGTGATACTGCTGGAACATACTACAGGTTCTACTACACTACATCAGAATCACATGCTCCCTGAGCGAGTAGCGTATGTAAACATCTGAAGAGATAAAGACATGTGATAGCTCTGATTGGATGAAATAGTGAAAGATTTTTATGGGTTTTTCAAAAACACATCCATCCAGTAATTAAAACTGACCACAATTTTAAGTATTTAGTGTTGTCATTTTTACCCCCTTGACTTATGCTTATTGTGTGTACAGATATTTTGAAGTAGGTCACATCAACTTGGGTTGATGTGTTCAGCTTGCTTTACTCGGATAATTGGTAGGATAATTTGTGTTTTTATTGTAGTTTAAAGACAAGACTGTACCCAGACCATGGCTGTTGAGAGCCTGGATGATTTAAAAAAATATATATATCTTTACTATAGAAGTGTATGGGAAACATCCATGGTCCCTAGTATGGTGATCTACCTTCAGTTGTTGGCGATAAATAGCCCATTTTTACATTGTATTGTCCAAAAATAGTTTTCTACTTTTAAAGATTTGCTAGTTAGTTTTAAATCATTTTGTGATAATCTAGTACTTTAACTGTCCTTCTTTGACAGGGTTTTATATATTATATATATGTATTATGAACTTGGAATTAGTTTTAGTCACGATATTGCTGAAATAGTGCCGATGTGACTTTAAATCTTAACTCACTCACTCACTATGGGAACCATTTCGTTTTGTGTAACCCAGATTCGAACGAACGATCATCGGCTTCTGGCGTGTGGTTTGTTCGGAATAGGAACTGATATATAAACAGTATTTGTATTCGTTTAGGTACCGTTATTTTCGATGTCCTTCTTAAGGTGCATCCAAAGTATACTATACATACTGTTGTATTTCATTCGGCACCAGCATTGACAACCATGTCATGCATCTTGTTAACCACCACAAAGCTCTACACAAATTATCCCAATGAACGGACATCATTAAATGCCATAGAACCCAAACTGTATCACATTCCATTGAACAATTAATCACTTCCCGACGTTCGTCAGACGTCCATATTAAATTACCAATGCGTATGAATATAAAATGCATGTAACCTGCAGTGACAACTCACTTTCATCGTATTTCCCACTTGATATTTGTCAGCAGCAGATATGCACTTCCTCTACCCCAACCTATCATAATAAGTGTGCTGTTGCTGAATTTGGAAACCAATTCCTGTCCCACCAATTTCGAGCTTGACACAAGAAGCATAAACATGTACATAATATGTCAGAATAAAGTATACTGACGCGCTGATCCGTCACCATCTAACATTATACATTAACATCAACACATCCTTTATATCTTATTACAGCCGGCAGGAAACATGTGATTGCTTGTAACAACTTAAGTGGTATATAAATACCTTTCCCAAACAGAACCAATTCGTCGTTGAAGTAGTTATCGTTCGCTACATAATGCTTGGTGACAGTCCGCCTGGCCATCCCAACTCCCTTAGAGCAGCTTTCCGACCATTTCACTCTGGCCCCGCCGATTAGCTGAAGCTGTATGCCTACAACAGATGTATTTCGGTCAGGTGTAACAGCTCAAGCTGTATTCCTACGACAGATGTATTTCGGTCAGGTGTAACAGCTGAAGCTGTATGCCTACAACAGATGTATTTCGGTCAGCTGTAACAGCTGATGATGCAAGCCGACAACAGATGTATTTCGGTCAGGTGTAACAGTTGACGCTGTATTCCTACAACATATGTATTTCGGTCAGGTGTAACAGCTGAAGCTGTATGCCTACAACAGATGTATTTCTGTCAGGTGTAACAGTTGAAGCTGTATGCCTACAACAGATGTATTTCGGTCAGCTGTAACAGCTGAAGCTGTATGCCTACAACAGATGGTATTTCTGGTCAGGTATAAGCTGTTATGTAACAGCTGAAGCTGTATGCCTACAACAGATGTATTTCGGTCAGGTGTAACAGCTGAAGCTGTATGCCTACAACAGATGTATTTCGGTCAGCTGTAACAGCTGAAGCTGTATGCCTACAACAGATGTATTTCGGTCAGATGTAACAGCTGAAACTGTATGCCTACAATAGGTGTAATTCGGCTAGGTTAACAGCTGAAGCTGTATGCCTACAACAGTTAGGTGTAACAGCTGAAGCTGTATGCCTACAACAGATGTATTTCGGTCAGCTGTAACAGCTGATGATATGCCTACAACCGATGTACAGATGTATTTCGGTCAGGTGTAACAGTTGACGCTGTATTCCTACAACATATGTATTTCGGTCAGGTGTAACAGCTGAAGCTGTATGCCTACAACAGATGTATTTCGGTCAGCTGTAACAGCTGAACAGCCGACAAACAGATGAAGCTGACGCTGTATGCCTACAACAGATGTATTTCGGTCAATTGAAACAGATGTATTTCGGTCTGTATGAAGCTGTATGCCTACAACAGATGTATTTCGGTCAGATGTAACAGCTGAAACTGTGTAACAGCTGAAGCCATGCATGCCTACAATAGGTGTATTTCGGTCAGGTGTAACAGCTGAAGCTGTATGCCTACAACAGATGTATTTCGGTCAGGTGTAACAGCCGACCATGCATGCCTACAATAGGTGTATTTCGGTTAGGTGTAACAGCTGAAGCTGTATGCCTACAACAGATGTATTTCGGTCAGGTGTAACAGCTGATAACAAAATAATGCTGCACACTACGTAAAATGAGACAAAATCCGTGTGATTGGCGTAAGGCTCCTAATAATGATATTGTTGTAAAAATGTTTGTGTATTGTAGTACCAGTTGATGTGATATCTCACTCCCTCTTCTCGACCCCCTTACTTCAAACTTTTTCATTACGTCACATTTGTCACAGAAAATGCAATTGTCGAGAGTTCGAATCCAGGTTACGATTTATCAGCAGAAGGATTTGAAGATACCGTCGGGGTGGGTGGGATATTTTGTAAGGGAAACGTTGTTTCATGGAAGGGACCAGAGTTTACTGAATCCGAATGTGGTAGCCATGAGTGAGTGCAGCATGGTGTCGCAGTGAGCTAATGCGTGAAGATCGTTAGAATATTGATCTTCAGCAACCCATGATAGTCGTAAGGGGCGACTAACGGGATCGGGTGGCCAGGCTCGCTGACTTGGTTGACACATGTCATCGTGTCCCAATTGCTTAATTCGATGCTCATGGTGATGATAACTGGATTGTCTGGCCCAGTCTCGGTTATTTACAGACTGCCGCCAAAAGCTGGATTATTACAAACAAACGTATACTCGCCACTTCGAGAGCGCTGTCCCCACTAGTTCCAGTGCATGCTATATGTTATGCCATTCCTGGTTCGATGTGATTGTAAAGTGTTAACTCTCTCACAAGGCGTAAATTAATATTAAAACATTTGCACTTCAAAACATACATCGATACATTGACAATATAGATTATGTGGCGTTTGCAGTGTGTTGCCCTGTACACAATATTATTCTTGTAAAGATAGCCGTGAGTCCCATAAAGTCATCTTTCATGTCTATAGGGGCCAAAAATGTCAATCTTTCTCTTCAAAGTGTAGAATATTGACAATGTATATGTACACATCGCGGGAGTTTCTCGATAATAGCTTCGTCATTTGGGAAATCTATTTGTCACATTTAAAGCAGAAAAATCTTACAGCATAGCTAAAAATACAACCAACATCTAGCTTAACCCAAGCCTTATCCAAAACAAAGGAACACATGTTACAAAAAGCATACGTGTATCTACAAAATCACATAGACAATGGACACACATTGGAATGTTTCTGCAAGAACATAATTCTCGACATTTACCACTTACCCTTCATCTCCATTTCCTCGTCTAGTTCCAGTGTAAGGTGACCCTGTAGACACTGTCCCGGAGAATACACCCTCTGGGGGTTGTCTAAAGTTATTGTGAAAACTTTTGGTTTGCCCATCTTTGATAAACGAGTGTTTCAAGAACGGTTTTCTGAGGTTTTTGTAACACTGCATCCGACAATGATATGCACGTTCACATAATTGACAGACTATTGTCATTCCGTCTCCGGTTTGCACAACAGATGTCCTACAAACCTTTACAGTAACAATCAGTCTCTGTCAGCGTCGAAAGTTTTCGCAATGTCACAGTGCCTATGTCACAACGATGCCGTCCCATCGCTTCGCGTGTCATGTACGAACAGCTGGGTCTTGCAGACAAAGTGTCAAAACAGAGGTATACCGAGTCTCAATTGCCACAACACTTTTGAAAAGGCGTTTTATTGGCATTTAAGTGTTTACATTTAGTTGTCCCTCTGATACTGATAGTTAATGCCCAATGCTTATTCGTACTCACTCACAAAGCACGAAAGCTGGTCTTGAGATGTGGTCTTCAATGTCCCTTGGAATATTATCGAACAGCCTTTGTCATGGCGCTATGAAATAACAGTTGAGCATCGTAATATTGTCATGGCAACGGGATAAACATCCTGACAACACCGAAGTATTTACATATCAGGGAGTATGATTGATTTTAATTTTGCACTTCCTTTGTGCATGTCGATACAAAAGATGTGTGCAGGAGCCGATGTTTACACATTGCCTTGTTGCTCGTGACGACATGCACGCCATCAAATACTTCATGCATAAATTTGGATTATAAACAAATCCTGTTTAGCTATCACACCAATAATTGCAATTGACAATGATTTATGTACCCTATGTCTGCTTCAACTTATAATGTGTTTTCTGTACACGTGCAAACAACTGACAACCGCTTAGTTCCGTCGGGGGTGGGGGGTGATATTTTGTAGGGTACTCGGTGCTTCATGGAAGGAGCCAGAGTTTACTGAATCCAAATGTGGTAGCCATGCGTGTGTGTGTTGTCGCAGTGAGCTAACCCGTGAAGATCCGAGCTAGAACTGATCTTCAGCAACCCATGCTTGTCGTAAGAGGCGACTAACGGGATCGGGTGGTCAGGCTCGCTGACTTGGTGGACACTTGTAATCGTTTACCCAGTTGCGTAGATCGATGGATTGTCCGGTCCAGACTCGACTGTTTACAGACCGCCATATAGCTGGAATATTGCTGAGTGCGGCGAAAAACTAAAGTCACACACTCACTCACCTCCTCTGAACATTACTTCATATGATTATCGACCTAAGACCATAACATTAATGATAATTTCCGTGAACATAAAATAAGATGCACTGGCATGCACAGTTTTAGCACAGATTTAACGTAGAAAAATATACATTTTCCTTGGATGCAGAAACATCTTTTAAATCAAGATGTACCTTTCAGTCTGCTCAAGCTAATTATGTCATGGAAGATTGATTTTATTCAGCATCTGAATCTGAAGCATCTGAAACATGTGTTTTGGAAAGCGGCATGTTGTTGATGCTGGCCCAGGGTAACCCATGACAACTTTGTGCAACACCGTACCCATCGGCGCTGCCGTTTTGGTTTTCTACAATGCTTTACAGTTGTTCGATCAGGCACAGCTTCAGGACCCAGGTAAAGCTTTCAGACGTATTGTCATAGACAAAAATATAAACAGACCATGTCCATATTTAAAGCTTTGGGAACCCAACTGAAGTCCGATGCAATTTGTTTTTACGACTTGTGCCATAATCTGTTCGGCTTTGTTCCGGTGAACCAATGCAATCTACTCGCATTTCTTTGTAACGAATGCCACCAGTGAGGTAGGGTACACTGCACTGTTTATGAACACTGTTTGATATCGATTTCTCAGTGCAAAAGAATACCCAGTCTTGACTATTCTCAGAATGAAATTCCGTTTGGTTTAAATGCAAAAATAGCTCTCAAATTTACCATAATCACGTCATCACTTACTTTTTTATACGCAGATGGCTATCAGTGAATGAGTGTTGGACGTAGGACGTATCATGTTCAGCAATCCTACAATCGTCTGAAGGAGGAAAGGAAGTTACCATAAGTCCAGTTTCCACCATTGCCGAACTGGGCTATAATTTCGAGGCTCGACTATAGGCTGCTACGATGTATGTCCCTTCCATGCCCCTCCTTATGGCCAAGCAAATTCCCCCCTTATCACGTAACTTGGATTTGTAAAATACGGTGCTTGTTCTATATTGTAATGAAACACCTCATAGTGCACCAATTATAACTTCATTGCAAATATCTGTCGACGCCAAATTGATGGTACACGTGTTTTGCAAATCAACAATCGATCGAGATTTGCAGGGCAGTTTACAAACTGGATGGGAATTTCATTATGCGAGTTATATTTCACTATGCAGAGACTCAATTTTAGTCGAGACAAATCATAACAAATTTAGCCTAAAGTTCGGCCTCGGGAACTTCCTTGCCTCGGGTAGAAGCACACGATGGACTCTGCTTTTAACAAAGGAAAATAACCTTGCAAAGATGTTTAAACGATCATTTATTAGAAAATAGATATTTGTTTTAGAATAGAGTCTTATTTACATTACTAAATGTATGTTAAATATGACACGTGTTATATATATATATATATTATTTTAATAACGGAACAAAAAGCACGTGAACGATACATTTAACAATTTACAATAACGGTTGCAAGATAAGGTCGTATCGGAAATATTTCCGCCACGTAGCTTTCTTTGGACTTTGGATATACTCAGTCTGATATTGTATTAAAATGCACAACAACATAACATCAACGTACATATCACAGATATTCGTGTTCATTACTGTGGTTAAATCCACGAGTACTGCAGGCATAGTTAATAGGGCGTAAAAAGCTGAAGGCCAAAAAGTGTTCATCGAATTTCATACACGTTGAAAGTGGGTGATGGATGGATTAATTGCATATGTTAACATAATACACAGTCTAAGTCTTAGGCTCAGTATTATTCGTTACACTGCTTTACTGAGTCTAACAAAACCTAGTAGAAGGTCGCGTCACCTAACCTTTGAGCGACCTATGACCGTCTAATCAAACGCGAGACGGCCGAACGGATTTAACCAATCAGACAACGACTACTTGTTAGGGTTCGGCGGGACTTACAAAACGGTTTGGGGATTTTCTGTTCCCTGGTCGCTGACACTGATCTATCAACAAACAAAAATCCGCATAAAACACAGATATTTGACCTGCAGTATATACGCTTAGGGGTTTCTAATGACATGGTTACTATTTGCTTATATTTTCGCAAGATGACATCCTTGAATATTGACAAAAGCGCTATTTTCAGCGTCTGTCTACTCATTGCGTGTATCACTTGGAAGCAATCGTGCGGAAAATAGCATTCGGAATCGTTCAAGTCTTTGAGGTAAAGGTTCAAACGGTATGTGCGAATGTTAACTTTCGCGATTTGGTTAGCTGTGTTCTGATTGGTCAGTCCAAAAGGTTAGCTGACGCAACCTTCTACAAGGTTTTGTTAAACTCAGTGTAGCTGTGTAACGAATAATACTGTGCCTAAGTTTACTTAGACTGACATAATACAGTATTCAATAATTGAGCGACCAAGAAAATATCTTTGATTGTAATACCAGTCTTTGATGAACAGAAATATCCATATCATGTACCACATGTAAGTGTAATATATTAAATACAAAATTAAATGTCTAATTATTGCTGTATATTATAAAATCAATGCTAAATTTGTACAATCCTTTATATCAGTACTAAAGAATGATGGACATATAAATGACACTACCAGCATTGTAATGATGTACATGATCCAGAGCTGGCGTATTTGTAACTAAATTGTGCAACAGTATAGACGTTTCAAATTCATGGCTCAGTTAAAGCTACTATCATTCGTGCTTGCAACAATGGCACAAATTGAGTGAGCGAGCTTTCACTCTGACTTGAGAAGTATTCCAGCAACTTGATGGTAAGGGATATCACACATTATAAACTTTCATGGATAGAAACTCGGATGTTTAGCCTCATGAGCACTCGCTTACAAAGATGTCCCACCGCCCTGTTATTCAGGAGGTGGTTCACAGGTTCTGACGCTGATGGATTCTGCTGAAGGAATTGGTTGCTAATTGTTAAATACATAATCTCCCCCGAGGTTCAGACACGCCTGCCACGATACTGAAATACCTGTATCCAGCGCTCGAAATAATCTCCGACCCGGAGGCCCAGCACCAGTTGTTATTGTATCAGACCGGCAGTTTCAAATATTTGCAGGCCCTTGTGGCCTTCAGTAAATTATGTGTCAATGTTGTTTTTCAACTGGAATCTTTCCCATATTGTTTTTCTTTATGAACGTTCGGGAATCATCCATGATCCACCATGTTAGGATACTTACAGTTTCACTTTCTGGTATTTCAGCACTTTGCGCATAGGAATGTCAACACCTGGTCCAGCCTTTAACAAATAAAACTTTTCTCAGCGCCATAGGCTTCGCTAATTCAAACAGTGTGAAACTGTGTACAGTGTAGTCTATTTTGTTATTATTGGTTTGATTTTAACAAAATGGGTCTGCAGATTTCTTTCAGGGTCTGTAGATTTTAAGGCCTGCAGGCGGCAGCAGGCCCAGATGGCCAACTGGCAAATGAAAGTATTGCAAACACTGCCTGTAAACCACTGCTGTATTCCCCAGGCAGTATAAACTGATGTGGCCAGCAAGAGGAATGCTTAGGATGAATGTTGAAAGAGGTTCCAATCAGGCCTTCCAATACGAAGTATGTTCAATGATTTCAAACATTGGTTATGGCAACAGAATAATTTAGCCTTGATATTCTCAGGGATATTTCAAAGCAAAGCAGCCATATTGCCCAATTATGGTTTGGTCGTTCTGCAGCTAGTCCACCAGTAGGAGTCTTTAGAATCCAAGTTGTAACAGATGGTGGAGATGTTACCTATTTCACTGCTTTTCTGTTGAGTAGTCTCTGATAGCAGTGGAGCCAAATGTCAAAGTTCTAGACCGCCGTCATAAAGACGAGAATAAGCAACAAACAAATTCACAGGGAACGGAGGAGCTTCGTCATCACCTGATCCTGAAACTATGGACTCATCGAGGGTGGTTGATATAATTTCTTTCAGTATAAGATACTTTAAGATCATGATAGGGCGATAAGCACTTCCGCAATTTGTCATTTTCATTTTGATGCTTGCGGAAATATGTCTCCTGTAAGCATGTAAAGTAGTGTACTTAATTCACGCACAGTTTGTAGTTAGGTTCAGAACCGTTCAGCGATCCCCTGTAAGTCGTAAAGATTCCATAACAAATTATTTTCTTGTGACTTGAACGTTTGAAGTGTCCCTTGAAATCAAATGCATCAGTTGGGTTGAACTTTGCTCTGTTTATCGTTTTTGTCATCTCACCTTTGATTAGGTAAAAAGAAGAAGAAAAACTCAACATAATCACCACTTTGGTGAAACCCACGATAACGAGTTATATCCCGACACATCGGGAATCATGATAATCAGGATGAATCAAACCGAATATGATTCTGAGGGCATTGAACTAGTCGTGCTACCTAATAATAATAATCCACATAAACTGCCGGGTAGAAAGAAGTATGACCAATATTTGATGATGGCTCAAATTGAAACGGACAAAATATGGTCATTCGATGGTGATGCATTTGTGGGAAAATGTCAGTAACGAGTGCGCTAGCTGGGTTTTCGATTTATAGGGATCAAATGATGAATGTGGTGTAAGGGTAACCATGGCCACTAACATAGTCCAGTTCCGTTACTTTTATCACAGTTCAGGTAAATAGTAATAATTTAAGGCACCTTAAATGTAACACGTAACACATAACACGACAAACTCAAATAACAATATCACTATACAGACACAGATTGATAACATCGATACACTGGCCACAGCAGTTGCGAAAGAAGGCACGATGTATACTGAAGGACAAAACAAAGTATACCGAGAGTAAGTAAACTTCAATTTGAAACTGATCCATTGTTAACTTTGATTATGTCTGTGTAACCACCGCTTATTTCCGCAACAGTAAAATCAGCGGCTGGATAATTCTTTATAAAGATACAGTGGTTCAATGAAGACCATTTTGCATCCAACTGACCAATTTTGTACCAAACACTCACATTAAGGGAAATATTTCACGACATTGCTTTGTATGAAAAGACTGCACTTGCATTGCGCTCTTGCTAGTTTTTACATTTACACAATTGCCTTGGGTAAATTTGGTCAAAGGCAGTCTTCACTAATAGTATAGTGTCGCCCTGATGTGGATTGAGAGCACGAGGTCTTGCAGGGTTTTACCACTTTGGTGGAAACCCATAAGAACAGGGAAATTAGTTTCCACAATCACAGATTCCTTGCTCGCCTCACGTCTTCATCTCTGCAGTAACTAGCTAGTGAAACCAATCGTCCCGTAGCCCACTGAAAGCAAACGGGAGATTATGTGAGGTACTGCTTGTTTAGGATGTTTGGGACGCATCCTCTACGATGGAGGTGCTGAAGGCTGAGCTCTTTCTCCCCAGCTGTAAAAGGTGTACACTGGAGTAAAGTTCATATTGCCTTTTGTGTGCTCGTCGTCATCCTCATCCTTGATGTTCACTGGCCCAAACACGCTTTCTGCGTATGATGGAGCTGAAATGACCAATATCAACATGTAATATGAGCAGGAAATGTAATAATGCATAATTGCATTTTCATATATACTGTTCGAAATGTTAGGAAAATGAAACCCTGCAAACAAAGCCCCCACCCCAAAAACACAACAACAACAAAAAACACCCCCAAAAATAAAAAAATAAAATAAACAACAACAAAAACAACAAAAAACAACAACAAGAAAACAAACAACAAAAAACCCAACTCAACGCTTGTTGGAAACATAGATGTTTCCTGGCAACTTTCCTAGAAACAGTAATGAGCACTACGCTGTTTCAATATCCGAAAATGGTGTAAATAAATAACGCTATTCAGTGTTCAATTGTTTTACCTTTGATAAACATATCACCTGTAGCTATGTCCTTTAGCACGCTTAACATGAATTTACTTTACTTAAAGGAACAATGTTACACATTTTCGACACTATTTAACCTATATTATATTTATTGGCGCATATGTACTCACTTTACCTTCCTATTGATGCAATAAAAGACTTATTATTCCTTACGACTTGTCTGAAATCGATACTTGATACTTCGAGGCGAACAGCTTCCAAACAGAGAACACTTGCCATATAGGGAATGTAAACAATTGCTCCGTACATCGAAAACTGGCGCACGCAGTGTTGTCGGTGTTTGCAGAACTGGTTTCAGTCACAAGTACGTAGGAGATTCGTCAAAAGCAATCAAAGGGACATAACTCTCTGGGTTTCGCTTGAAATACTAGTAATGTTCTGCAGGTAGAGGACGCGAGAGTCGATTTAATGCAACGCTGCAGTAATTCATTTGAACTTTTTAATTTAATCTTGAAATCTAAATGCGTAATGTTTTGGGAATGCATTATATGGTAGCTTCCCCGAGGGCTGATAGTTAGTATCATTGAAAGAAATGCTTTATTTATTTTTAGAGAAGTGTGGTGTGATATAGTGCCTTTAAGTAGACACGCGACTTGACCATACAGGGACTTACTTATGATATCAGCAGTTTGTTGTATTGTTTACATGCGTGTGGAATAAGTAAGTGTGGGGTGCTCGTCTACATTATACACACTGCCTCATAAACAGCCGGCGATACCTATTCGCCTAATTGAAAATGAGGGAGACTCTATCCCAATCTGTCTGAAAGCCTTGAATGTGAAATAAACAGTTGTACATCTGAAAACATGACATCTCTCCCTGTGTAGGAGCGCTTTCATGTCATTACAAAAATGTCACTAACCAAGGCCATCGATTAATGACTGAAATAAAATGTCAGTTCACTGGGTTGTTATTGAAAATCATTGCACTTGTTCACCCGGTGTTGCCTCTAGCGTGTGCAACTTGTTTAAAAACTTAACAATGCGCTATGTTTACTTCTCGTGACACTTCAGGTTGATAATTGATAATTTTTTATTTCTAATCGACATCGATAAGAATTATCGCGGTAATAGATTTTCTCAAAGGTCAATGTGGAAAAATATGGGCTCGGGAAAAGAAATCGATTTTAATACATTATATTCCATTCGTACATATGTTTAACGCGTCCAGTCATTTTGCTTGCGCATACAGCTTTCAATATGTCCACGGCATTGGCAAAATATAAGATTATTTAAAACAGTAAATACAAAATCAAATTCGATGAAACTGGAGAAAGGTCTGTTGTTTCAACACAAGAAGCTTTTCATTATACATCGATGCCACGTAGCGTTTTAACTTCAGTGAAGCGTTCAAAATGTTTTAGGGTATACATATGGAGTACATTTCAAATATTTTTCAGATGAACATTTGACTAGCCTTTGCGTGTATTCATGATGGGTACCACGGGTGGGGCAGGATACGCTCATCGCTGTTTGATTCAAAAGCGATTCAAACGCATCCTCTGCCTCTTTTATGTTTGATTGTCTGGTCCAAAATCAATTGTTCACCGTCCGCTGCCATGCAGCTGTAACATTGCTGAGTGAGGCGTTCATCAAGCAAACAAACACATGCTCTGTCATCGTATCTCTCCATGTTGGATTGTGAGGCCCAGAATCGATTGTTATTTTCACAATAATAAAAAAAGAAATCAAATCATAAGCGGGAGATTGAATGTTTAAACATATAAAAATGGAAAGTGGCTGTTTTTGTATAAATTGACCCCCAACGTGGTATAAATGACTTATAGTTTAATCATTTTATCACTTTCTAACTATGTACTTAATAACAATATTCAACAATAAGAGATTTTGTAAATATTCTTAATTTACTTAATATCGGCCAGTTTAAAAAAAACAAAACAAAAACATATTTAAAATTGACAAGTTTGTCTTGAAACCAATAAGTAATGAGTATGTATTAGTTTATTATTAACATGTGGTTTAGTGTACCAGTTAGAAGCTGGCAAAGGTTGAAATATGTGTTTTATCCAGAGTCACAACGACTGAAGGAGATGCAACTCACGCATTGACGGTAGCGGTGATGTTGAAGATGGCCGACTGTCATGGTAAAGCTGAGACTGGTGTGTGTCCTGGGTTACAGGAGCGAACCCGTATTGTTCCAGTGTGTATCTGAGCGGTATGGATCCGATGATCACTCTCAAAGGTATTTCCAGCTGAAAGCCAGGTCCCGCAGGCTCAACACATAACTGGAAAACGGCGAAATATCAAGGTCACTTTGCGCTTACTAGCATCAAAGGCATGCTACTAGCGCATACAACATAAAGGGCATATTTACCCCGGATAACCCAAGCTGTCTGTGAGGCTCTAGTAGGTTAATATGGTCATATCATTTACCCCACCTGGTACCAATTTCTGCTAGGTGAAGAGAGTGAGTGAGTTCTACGCCGCTTTTAGCAATATTCCAGCAATATCACGGCGGGGAACACCAGAAATAGGCTTCACACATTGTACCCATGTGCGGAACCGAACCCGCGTCTTCGGCGTGGCGAGCGAACGCTTTAACCACTGGCCTACTCTACCGCCCCCTGGGTGAAGAGAAGGAATTGTAAACCAACTCACTTGCCGGTGGTGAGACCACATGTGTCACGTGTGATTCGTTCCCACCTGTGTGCAAGGGATTTCAAATGTGTCGCTGTTCACCCAGTAGCGAATATGTATGTGGATGTAAAACCGTTCTAGATCGTCTAGGTACGGGCTTTATATTGCGAAGCAATTTGAGAAAGATGATATGAATGAAAACCTATCCACTAATCGTGGAATCAAAGCTGAATCTGAGCACAGGTGACTGGTGTTGGTCAAGGTGCAATGCAGAACAAACTTCAATATAACGGAACAGCATCTAAAGGACATGGAAGTCACGTTAGGATGCATGTATCAACGTGAACGGAACACCGACAAGCCATATTTTTTCGTGTTGTGCCCGATAGGTTGGAAAGCTTTACATTTACAAAGTATTGAGGGCTTACCCAACTATAACAACAGAGATCATGTGTAAGCCCGGGCTTTTTTTTTATAATGGTAGCTACGCCCGTGAATGGTCTGTTAGAAAGACACAATTAATGTTTCAAGATCGTACCAAACTTCAGTTAGGATAGTCTGATAACATTTGCCATGGAACATTCACAAAGTGTACCATTAAGCCATTCAGCGTTACAGAATAACCCGATTTTCACGTTGAAATATATCTGCCGAAAATCTTCATAGAATGTTGTGTAAATGTCATGTAACCAGAAATAACACCATGACATTTGGCCATTCTTCTGATCAATGTTTTATCCCAACAAGTTCAGTGACAAACCGATACCAGGAAACAGGGAACAGACAACTCAGTTAAGAATATCGATATCGTGTGTGATCACTGATTTCGTCGATACAGACGAGGCAGCGACGGAGCACTGAAGACGCCAGATGACTGAAACGTGCCTTCGAGATGTTGTTTCAAATGTCAACCTACAAGTGGTGCAACTGAGCTAGGGTTACGGGTGTCCGAGCTGAGCTGGATATTGGCGCTATACAAACATGAATGAATATTGTCCCTGTCTTATGCCACGTACGTTTCTGCCAGTAATTGCTGTCATTCCTGGAACTGTCCAGACTGTTAACTCTGGTAGGTGGATATCAACGGATGGTTGCTTTGTTAACATGGTGAGTGGGAGAGTGGGTTTTGTTTTACGCCGTTTTTAGCAATATTCCAATAATATCACGGCGGGGGACACCAGAAATGGGCTTCACATATTGTACCCATGTGGGAAATCGAACCCCGGTCATTAGCGGGACGAGCGAACGCCTCAACAACTAGGCTACCCCACCGACCCCATTACGTGGATGACTGGTCCATAGCAAGAACATTAATTCGTCAAAGAGAGGTGATATTGTCGTTCGATGAACAATAATAAAATAAATTAAAACAAATCAATTTTGTGCCGCCAATCCCGTTGGCACAATACCAACGTTGTGTTGGCATTGGTGAGATTCGAAAACAAATCTTTATGAATATGTATTAAAAGATGCATTGTATTACTTTGAAATAAATTGATTTTCATTGAACTTAATGTGAAACACAATTATTTTGTACTATATTTATAAGGATTTGCTGAAATACTTTTTCCAGACGAAAATGTTTCACTGGTGACCACTGATTAACAACACGTCTACCTTTATGAAGTACTCGAGGGCTATTATTCTGCACCCAGGTAACTTGGAAGGCGGCACTGGCGGTATTAAAAGCGGGTCTCCGTCCCAGATATCGGTGTCACCAGGGAGGATTTCACCACGCGAGATTTCCGCTATTTTCTGGACGTCACTTCTCGACTTCCGTGTTGCGTGGTAGTACCTCACCTGGATATGATATAAAGGCACATTATGGATTAAATCATAGAACCAGTGATACGAGTTCTAACCACGAAATTGAACCTTAATTACACTAAAGGTAATCTTATAATTCTTTTTATAGGGAGGTTGTACTTGACGGGAACAAAAACAGTGTTTTGAAACATCACAAAATTCGACCCCATGGTACTGAACCGTTCATAAAATGGCTGCAGTACACAGTAGAGAGCATATTCAGCTTCAACTGCCTAACGATTAATGCGATGCGCGGCGACATTGGGCTTTGAAGTTTCAGATTTATCAAAAACAACAAATAAAAAAAAAGTCATCCTGAATCCCAACAAAGCCAATTGTTTTTAGACTGTCCTCTTACACCGAGTTATGAAAAAACTGTTTTTGTTGGTATTTTTTTGTTTTTTTAACCACACAGTCTGTAAAACTACATCCACATCGACCATGTTATAGTTGGAATCACTTGATCGTATCAACTTACTGATACCTCGTGTCTCATAGGCCTGCTGGCCGGGTGATATATATATATATATATATATACATATATATATACTCTCCCCAGAAAGACACGCATATATGAATTTCAACTGTATTTTTATGTTTATTTTGAAACATTGTGTAGGCTCTATGAGTCAATGAAATATAGCGAAATTGCACACTGGGAATGCAGACTTATCCGTCTTTGGCACCAACTCGAGGAATGTCAGTTTGAGTGTCACATGGATACGTGTGGTGGCGCTGAAGTCAATACCTCGTGTGACCACCGTGGGCATCCAGAACTGCACGGCATCGCCTCGGCATCGAACGAATAAGTCTCAGAATCTCGTGTTGCCCAATCGCAGCCCACTCTGCCTGTAGTGCCTGTGCGAGTTGCTGAAGTGTCTGGGGCTGAGGGTTACGGCGTCGCACCCGTCTGTCCAGGGCATCCCACAGATGTTCGATCGGGTTTAAGTCCGGTGATCTTGAGGGCCAGGGGAGCACATTGATGTTGTGGTTCTGGAGGAAGTCTCTAGTGTGACGTGCTGTGTGGGGCCTGGCATTGTCCTGTTGAAACAACTCCCCTCTGGCGATCAATGATTGGAAGAAGGTGTGGGCGTAGGATTTCGTCACAGTACCGTTGAGCTGTCAGGTCCCCTGGATCATCACCAAATCACTTCTCCTACGGCAGCTGATCGCTCCCCACATCATAACACAGCCCCGGCCGAATCTGTCCACCTGGGGAACGCAAGCGTCGGCGAAACGTTCACGTCGACGTCTGTACACCCGCATTCTTCCATCGCGTCGTTCCAATAGAAATCGTGATTCATCACTGAACCAGATTCTACGCCAATTCGGTAGGTTCCAGGCCTGAACGTTGGTGCACCATTGAACTCGATGTCGACGATATTGTTGTCGAAGCACAGGGCCAAAATAAGGTCTTCTGGCACGTAAACCAGCCTCTCTCAACCTGTTCCTGACTGTCTGTGCAGAAAGCCTCCTCAAACCGGGTATTTGTCGAGCGGTACTGGTCGCCGTAGCTGTTCGATGACGCAGGTGAAGTACCCGGATGTACCGATCCTGCGCCGCAGTGGTCGCTCGAGGTCGCCCACTACGAGGGGCATCTCTTACCGAATTCTGCTGCCGATATCTCTCCTAGAGCCGTGAAATGGTGCTTTGGTGAACATTCATGCGTCGGGCAACTGCACGTTGAGACTGGCCAGCTTCAAGCAACCCAATGGCGATATGACGGTTGGCTTCACTTAGACGTGGCATTTTGCGTTCGTCAACAATATTCCAAATACAGTGAATAATCGACAGACAGCGATCAACCTTTTATACCCATCATTGAGACTATCTGATCCCCAACTTTCACGTGCATTGCATGTGAATTGTGTATTCTGTGACACTACACGCCGAAATTGAAAATCATGCTGTTAAATACGGGTATTTTACTGATGGTGCATTTTGTTGTGATGTTTCAAAACATAAACAACATAGGACTCATAAACAGTGCAAAACCTTCTGTAAAATGAATCACGTTTTAATTCATTGCTACATGAAATTGCTATTTTCATGATGCGTTTCTTTTTTGGGAGAGTATATTTAGTTTGACCTGTCTGTATGTCCGTATATTGTGTGACACGTACTTACTACTTACTGTATAAAAGGCTTCAGCCTGTAAAGATACATTCACATCCTAACATGATATGATTGGTATAATATTATATTTTATGAACCTCATGACACCTCGTGTCTCATAGGCCTACTGGCCGGGTGGTATATATTTTAATCTGTCCTGTTTGTATGTCTATATGTATGTATTCTGCGTGACACGCAAATAAGATATTTTCTTACTTTACGTACTTATTTAAATACGGACCCTTAGATTCCAAAGCGGCAGTCTTTTATGCAACAAACTACCCGGTCCACCGAGGAATACACCCTACAGTTGAAGCAGCGCCTTAAAGAAATGTCAGATCCATCACGGCCTTGTTCCTACAGTGAAAGGACTCGTGAAGATCCGGGTAAGAACTGATCTTCAGCAACCCATCCTGATCAGGTGGTCTGACTCGCTGAGTTGGTTGACGCATGACATCGTATGCCAATTGCGCAGATCGATACTCACAATGTTTATCACTGGATTGTCTGGTCCAGACTGGATTATTTACAGACCGCCGTCATATAGCTGAAATATTGCTGAGGGCGGCGTTAAACAACCAAAAACGAAAACAGTGGAGGCAGCCCCTCAAAGAAATGCTGGACCCACCACGGAATACTTCCTGCAGCGGAAACAGTGACTTAACAGAACGCTCCATCCACCACGGAATACTTCCTGCAGTGGAAGCAGTGCCTTAACAAAACGCTCCATCCACCACGGAATACTTCCTGCAGTGGAAGCAGGGCTTTAACAAAACGCTCGATCCACCACGGAATACTTCCTACAGTGGAAGCAGTGCTTTAACAAAACGCTCCATCCACCACGGAATACCTCCTACAGTGGAAGCAGTGCTTTAACAAAACGCTCCATCCACCACGAAATACTTCCTGCAGTGGAAGCAGTGATTTAACAAAACGCTCGATCCACCAGTGGAAGCGGAATACCTCCTACAGTGGAAGCAGTGCCTTAACAAAACGCTCGATCCACCACGGAATACTTCCTACAGTGGAAGCAGTGCCTTAACAAAACGCTCCATCCACCACGGAATACTTCCTGCAGTGGAAGCAGTGCCTTTAACAAAACGCTCCATCCACCACGGAATACTTCCTGCAGTGGAAGCAGTGCTTTAACAAAACGCTCGATCCACCATGGAATACCTCCTACAGTGGAAGCAGTGCCTTAACAAAACGCTCGATCCACCACGGAATACTTCCTGCAGTGGAAGCAGTGCTTTAACAAAACGCTCCATCCACCACGGAATGCTTCCTACAGTGGAAGCAGTGCCTTAACAAAACGCTCCATCCACCACGGAATAATTCTTACAGTGGAAACAGTGCCTTAACAAAACGCTCTATCCACCAAGGAATACTTCCTGCAGTGGAAGCAGTGCTTTAACAAAACGCTCCATCCACCACGGAATACTTCCTGCAGTGGAAGCAGTGCCTTAACAAAACGCTCGATCCACCACGGAATACTTCCTGCAGTGGAAGCAGTGCCTTAACAAAACGCTCGATCCACCACGGAATACTTCCTGCAGTGGAAGCAGTGCTTTAACAAAACGCTCGATCCACCACGGAATGCTTCCTACAGTGGAAGCAGTGTCTTAACAAAACGCTCGATCCACCAATACTTCCTGCAAGGAATAATTCTTACAGTGGAAACAGTGCCTTAACAAAACGCTCCATCCACCACGGAATACTTCCTGCAGTGGAAGCAGTGCTTTAACAAAACGTTCGATCAACCACGGAATACCTCCTACAGTGGAAGCAGTGCCTTAACAAAACGTTCTATCAACCACGGAATACTTCCTGAAATGGAAGCAGTGCCTTAACAAAACGCTCGATCAACAACGGAATACTTCCTACAGTGGAAGAAGTGCCATAACAAAACGCTCTATCCACCACGGAATACCTCCTACAGTGGAAGCAGTGCCTTAACAAAACCGCTCGATCCACTTCAGTGGAAGCAGTGCTTTAACAAAACGCTCGACAACTTAACAAACGCTCGATCAACCATTGAATAATTCTTACAGTGGAAACAGTGCCTTAACAAAACGCTCCATCCACCACGGAATACTTCCTGCAGTGGAAGCAGTGCTTTAACAAAACGTGGAAGTGGAAGCAGTGCCTTAACAAAACGTTCGATCAACATCCAATACTTCCTGAAATGGAAGCAGTGCCTTAACAAAACGCTCGATCAACAACGGAATGTGGAAGAAGTGCCATAACAAAACGCTCTATCCACCACGATACCTCCTACAGTGGAAGCAGTGCCTTAACAAAACCGCTCGATCCACCACGGAATACTTCCTTCAGTGGAAGCAGTGCCTTAACAAAACGCTCCATCCACCACGGAATACTTCCTTTAGTGGAAACAGTGCCATAACAAAACGCTCGATCCACCACGGAATACACCCTACAGTCCCTTAACAAAACGGAATAGTTCATAGAGTAGAACCAGTACCTTAATGTTTTGTGACCCAGGATTGTCGCCTTTACTGACCATGTATAATTGCGCATATGACCTCTTCATTCTCCGATTGCTGTGATTGATGATCTCGCCTTTGATAGGAATGGTTTCCCCGGGTACATAACCGCAGCGGTCAATCTGGAACGTGCAGCTGATTGGTCCAGATTTGCAGCAGAGGCAACACAGCGTCTTCTGACCTTCACCTCGTATTCCATCCTGCAATACCAATTACACACGCTGTGCAGCATCATGTTGGTTTATACATTGGTAAAATGGGATCCTTTTAGTTTCCTGTTTCTGTTATATAGGTTGCATCGTACTTACCAATATGACAACGTTCTGTGAAGATTCGACCCGTGGAGATCCGGGTTAGAATTGATTGATCTTGAGCAACCCATGCTTGTCGTAAGACTGAGTGAGTGAGTTCAGTTCTACGCCGCACCCAACAATATTCCAGCTTTATGGCGGCGGTTTGTAAATATTCGAGTCTGGACCAGACAATGAAGTGATCAACTGGGACGCAATTGTGATATGATGACATGTGTCAACCAAGTCAGCGAGCTTGACCTCCCGATCCCTCTTACGACAAGCATGGGTTATTGAAGATCAATTCTAACCCGGATCTTCACGGATGCCTGTCGTAAGAGGCGTCTAATTACATGAAGATAATACATTTAAATTAAAATTATGAATCCCTATGGAGTTATGAGGAAATGTAATAAAATGAAACAAGCAGCCTATCCACGAATACCTTGACAATTAAACATGCCAGTTAGACATTTATACATAGAGAATGGGGCGGTGGGGTAGCCTAGTGGTTAAAGCGTTCGCTCGTCACGCCGAAGACCCGGGTTCGAATCCCCACATGGGTACATTGTTTGAAGCTCATTTCTGGTGTCCCCCGCCGTGATATTGCTGGAATATTGCTAAAAGCGGCGTAAAACCAAACTCACTCACTCACTCATACATAGAGAATGCCCTTGTTGATTTAATAAATACACGACAAAGTGGAATTGTCTGTTGTGTAAATACAACGTAAAATACATCTCACAAACCTACAATTAGGCGTCACTGTCAACAGTGACTTAAAAGGGACAAACCTCTTTACAAGCAATCTCACAACACAGAATCGAGTATGTGAATCCCAATGCGTCATGAGCTTGTATTTGTAAATCACTGTTTAATGGCATTAGCGTATCCTGTCCCACTGGAGACACCAATCACGAACACGAGCAAGTCAATCGTCTATCTGTAACCCAGTTAATGCTGTACTCATCATCATGGACAATTTCCGGATTTACGAAGCTTTCACATTTGATGCTTGATTATGAAAGTTCCATCGGTAATCGTCTGAAAGGACTAACGAGGGTTCACAGTAATGACACCCGTAGATGCACTGCCAGTCTCGGATACGTCTTTTTTTGTAAAGATTGGAAGGGTGCAGCTTTTCAGAACAGGGGAGTGTACTTCCACACCAAAACAGAAGGCCCGGGTTCGATTCCCCACATGGGTACAATGCCTGAAGCCCATTTCTTGTGTCCCCCGCCGTGATATTGCTGGAATATTGCTAAAAGCTGCGTAAACCCACGCTCACTCTTAAGGCCTCGTCCAACCAGACTGTATTCGGGTTTCCATGTTTACAACGTTCAAATCGATGGACACAACACCAATCAGTGTCATCGCTGTTTCTCTATGATGCAGCGGGAACGAGACAAAGCCTATGTTCTTGAGGCTGGACAAGGGTTCGAATCATGAAAACTTAAAACTACACACGGTGAAAGATGCATATGTCTGAGTTATGATCACTGCCTGTATCAAAACTTGTCAACGTGTCAATGTCCCATGCATTTCGCGTATTCTTTTGCTTCCAATACTGTCACTATTTTCAAAAACCGCTTTTGTGTACAAAAGCTCCACAACGTTCAGTAGTATTCGTATCTTTTAAACCATTTCAATAATTTTCTTTGAAACTTCATATTGAGCGGCCACTCCGTCCCGTAGTCTGTATCACAGTCCCTGAACAGCATTATTTTCCTTAATGCCAAGCCCTCCCTGCAATGCTAAAGCCCTAAATGAGGCAAGTCTAGATTTCCCCAGATTGAATCGCCCATCTCACCCGGGCTCCTTTTCAATTTAAATGGGTGTATTTGTTACTATCAAAATTATATATATTCAGGGACTAAGCGTTAGCCTACTCCGTCCCGGTGTCTTTTTGTCAATGGTTTGTCACACATATTAATGGTTGCTGTTGTCGTCAACTCCATACATGACTTTTAGCTTCAGTTATCCAAAAAGCTGAACTACCATCCGAGTGACCAAAAACAACAAATGAATAAATATATAAAGGTTTGAAGATAATTATTGTAACGGTTATCAGTACAACACATACATAATAAATATCCATTCACCTTAGATCTTAGACCTTGTTTCTCACGTCGTCAATAAACAACTACACTAACATATATTCAAATGGACTATCTAACCTAACGTTGGATCAATAACCAGTTTACTTTTCTGAAACGATTACGGGACACGGTCAGGGTTGGTTCCTGTTTTAATTAGAAAGAAGTTTGTTTATGCAACAGTGGTTTCCTTTCATTTTCAAGTTTGAACACGGAGTAGATCTATAACTGTCTTTGAATTCCCTTGCTCACATCCGATGATTTTATTCTCCCGTCGTACAACGGCCCACTTCAGAAAAGAAAACAATCTTTTGAATATTTCTGTACTCGGTTAAAGACAATTATGTCATGAGTGGGTTGGTGAAAGATCACGTCCCCTTCAAAATATTATAGTATTGCGGCATATTGCTACATGTACAATTATGGTAAAGCCTAAATTGTAAACAGATTTACACAATTCAGGATTGTTTGTTTGTTGTTTAACGCAGCTCTCAGCAATATTGCAGCCGTGTGGCGGAGGTCAGTAAGTAATCGCAGTCTGGACCAGATAATCCAATGATCAACATCATGAACATCGATCTTCGCAATGGGGATACGATGACATGTGTCAGTCAACTAAGCGAGCGTGACCACCCGATCATGTGAGTCACCTCTTACGACAGTTCTGACCCGGATATTCACGATTCTAATACATTATTCAAGTTTCAAATCGCAATATCCAATGACGGCCCAGTCAACACGAAAACATTCTTCTCATTACCGGTGGGTATTTTGAGATACTTATAGTGTGTGTTATACGTTCGAGATTCGAATCTTGAACAGGCAAACCAATGACAAATAATATATTCCACAAAGGTGGAAAAATATTTTGATACATTAGTGAAGTGTCAAATTAAAATAACCACCTACGGCCGATAATCGAATCAAATAATCGAATCTGGACCAAGCAAGCCAGTGACTAAAGGCAAGAGTAACGACGACACCACCAGTGTATTTGTTCTGTAACATACAATCATCGTAACAGTTAAGAAACTGGGATTGGATTCTTGTCGCTATTGTGGCTGATTGGTTAGTTATATCATTGCCATATTACCTGAGATGTCCACTCGTCAGGCTTTTCGCTTTATCGCCTTATGTCAGTGTCGTGCCGTGTTATTGCCATGTCGTCTCGTGGTATTGCCATGTCGTGTCGTGGTATTGCCATGTCGTCTCGTGGTATCGCCATTTCGTGTCGTGGTATTGTCATGTCATCTCGTGTTATTGCCATATCGTCTCGTAGGTGTTGCCATGTCATCTCGTGTTATTGCCATGTCGTCTCATGGTATTGCCATGTCGTCACGTGGTATTGCCATGTCGAGTCATGGTTATGCCATGTCGTCTCGTGTTATTGCCATGTCGTCTCGTGTTATTGCCGTGCCGTCTCGTGGTATTGCCATGTCGTCTCGTGGTATTGCCATGTCGAGTCATGGTTTTGCCATGTCGTCTCGTGTTATTGCCATGTAGTCTCGTGTTATTGCCATGTCGTCTCGTGGTATTGCCATGTCGTGTCGGGGTATTGTCATGTCATCTCGTGTCATTGTCATATGGTCTCCTCGCGTTTTTGCCGTGTCGTGTCGTTGCATTGCCATGTCGCCTCGTGTTATTGCCGTGTCCTCTCATGGTATTGCCATGTCGTCTCATGGTATTGCCATGTCGTCTTGTGGTATTGCCTTGTCGGCTCGTGTTATTGCCATGTCGTCTCGTGGTATTGCCGCGTCGTCTCGTGGTATTGCCGTGTCGTGTCGTGGTATTGCCATGTCGAGTCATGGTTTTTGCTATGTCGTCTCGTGTTATTGCCATGTCGTGTCTTGTCGTGGTATTGTCATGTCGTCTCGTTGTATTGCCATGTCATCTCTTGGTATTGCCATGTCGTGTCGTGTTATTGCCGTGTCGTCTCGTGGTATTGCCGTGTCGAGTCGTGGTATTGCCATGTCGAATGATGGTTTTGCCATGTAGTCTCGTGTTATTGTCATGTCGTGTCGTGTCGTGGTATTGTCATGTCGTGTCGTGTTTTTGTCATGTCGTCGTATTGTCATGTCATCTCGTGTTATTCCCATTTCGTCTAGTGTTATTGCCATGTCATCTCGTGTTATTGCCGCGCGTCGTATCGTCTTATTGCCATGTCATCTCGTGTTATTGCCGCGTCGTATCGTCTTATTGCCATGTCGTCTCGTGTTATTGCCGTGCGTCGTATCGTCTTATTGCCATGTCGTCTCGTGTTATTGCCGCGTCGTCTCGTGTTATTGCCATGTCATCTCGCCATGTCAGCTCGTGGTATTGCCATGTCGTCTCGTGTTATTGCCGTGCGTCGTATCGTCTTATTGCCATGTCGTCTCGTGTTATTGCCGCGTCGTCTCGTGTTATTGCCATGTCGTCTCTTGGTATTGCCATGTCAGCTCGTGGTATTGCCATGTTGTCTCATGGTATTTCCGTATCGTATCGTAGTATTTCCATGTCGGCTCGTGTTATTGCCATGTCGTGTCGTGTAACCGCCAAGTCGTTTTTAACTGTTTATATCGCGTCGTACTATCCCTTTGGCATGGTATCGCGTGGATATCTAAAGGCTATAAGGGATGGCCCTAATCAGCCATAGAGCTGTATTCTCAACATCAAAATGTTATGACTTGAAAACACTGAAAACAACTGTAATATTGCTCTGAATTCACGAACATAAACAATTACCTATTCATGTTGTTTTACGTTGCAGAATCACCTCATGCGATCTTGCTCTATAAATAATCAAGGTTTCTCCAAACAGATGGTAGATAACATCTGCAATAATGTCCGAATTTCAAAAACACACAGTAATCACAATCATTGGCATTAAAACCTACCATACTCCCAGGCTCGGTGTTGAGATCCAGTGGATTAATCACTGTAAAGGCTTTCTTCGTTGTGTGGTCGAACTTCCATGGCTTGTCAATGGTTCCACTGAGCCAGTACCGCACCCTCCCTACCGTACCCTCAAACGAGGAGGGGATGCCAACTGGGAGCTGGTACTGAAAGGGGTATGTGTAGCGGCCTGCAGGTAGAGAATGGTTGTCTCCTTCTATGTGTGGCTCTGGAAGTTAGAATGAACACTCGTCACCAACAGTGAGTGAGTGAGTTTAGTTTTACGCTGCACTCAGCAATATTCTACCTATATGGCGGCGATCTGTAAATAATCGAGTCTGGACCAGAATATCCCGTGATCAATTGCAACAGCATGAGTATAGATCCACGCAATTGGGATACGATGACATGTGTCAACCAAGTCAGCGAGCCTGACCACCTGATCTCGTTAGTCGCCTCTTACGACAACATCACCAACAAGGGCGGTGGTGTAGCCTTGTGGTTAAAGCGTTCGCTCGTCACGCCGAAGACCAGGGTTCGATTCCCGATATGGGTTCAGTGTATGAGGATCATTTCTTGTGTCCGCCGTGTTATTGTTGGAAAAGGCGTGAAACTAAACTCACTCACTCATCACCAACATGTTAATGTTCTTAACGCAACGCTCAGTACGTTCACACGTATATGACGGAGATCAGTCATTTAACGAGTCTGGGCCAGTCAATCCAGTGATTGATGTCATGAGCATCGATCTAAGCAATTGAGATACGATAACATGTATTAAGCACCCGATGTCGCCATTCGCCAACAGGATACAATAATACAATAACCATCCACAATCGAAGACAAATTGGAAAGCTGCACAATTGCTTCGATATGTCGACACTCGGTATTTCAAATAAAAGCATAATAACATATAACAACTAAGGTCGTACAAAACTGGTTAAATAATACAATATGTAATAAAAGTTAAATCTAAGTCAGTCACATACGTGATTATGCTATTTCGAAAACAGAGCTTCCACTTTATGTGCACCCTTAACCCTTAAACAACAATCGGTTAATTAACAACCCGAGCAAAGAAATGACAGTTTACTGCATCGTATGTCGTGACGTTTTTGGTGATGGGTTATTGAAAAAATGAGCTTCACAATGAAACGCTGAAATCCTGAATAATAATATGTTTAAAGTAATCATCATGAAAAAGGCTAAATAGGTCTCATGGGCAAAGTGATGTCAAAATGCTCCATAGTACATGCAAGGTACCTTTTTGGTAAAGCATCTAACCCTCTCCTTGTACAGATACCCGGTACATTTGGTGCTGTTGTCAGAGAAAATACGATAAACCGTGAGACACATAATACAATACCTAATACGATCCGTCTTTTCGTGCATTTCCTATCTAGAGGCATCATATTGTTGTGTTTGAAAACTAATGTGAATAACAAATTGACAGTTTGTTTTGGCAACCTAGAACGTATAAACAGTTACAAAGGCTGGAGGTGATTCATTATTTCTAACATCTTATCAAATGTCTTCCGGGTATTTTGCGAAGACATAAGAAATGAATTTCATACAAGGTATTTGCTGAATCAGACAAAAGCAATTTATTCTTAAATTTTGAGATATTAGGGAATGGCTTAATGCTTGTCAAAACTCACGAGCAGCCTGATTTATAGTACTGACTTGGGTACCGTGCTGGAATAGATGTCGTGAAAATAATAAGTTGACAAAAACTACAATATATCCGTGTGGGAAATCGAATCCTGGCCTCAAACGAGGAGGGGATGCCAACTGGGAGCTGGTACTGAAAGGGGTATGTGTAGCGGCCTGCAGGTAGAGAATGGTTGTCTCCTTCTATGTGTGGCTCTGGAAGTTAGAATGAACACTCGTCACCAACAGTGAGTGAGTGAGTTTAGTTTTACGCTGCACTCAGCAATATTCTACCTATATGGCGGCGATCTGTAAATAATCGAGTCTGGACCAGAATATCCCGTGATCAATTGCAACAGCATGAGTATAGATCCACGCAATTGGGATACGATGACATGTGTCAACCAAGTCAGCGAGCCTGACCACCTGATCTCGTTAGTCGCCTCTTACGACAACATCACCAACAAGGGCGGTGGTGTAGCCTTGTGGTTAAAGCGTTCGCTCGTCACGCCGAAGACCAGGGTTCGATTCCCGATATGGGTTCAGTGTATGAGGATCATTTCTTGTGTCCGCCGTGTTATTGTTGGAAAAGGCGTGAAACTAAACTCACTCACTCATCACCAACATGTTAATGTTCTTAACGCAACGCTCAGTACGTTCACACGTATATGACGGAGATCAGTCATTTAACGAGTCTGGGCCAGTCAATCCAGTGATTGATGTCATGAGCATCGATCTAAGCAATTGAGATACGATAACATGTATTAAGCACCCGATGTCGCCATTCGCCAACAGGATACAATAATACAATAACCATCCACAATCGAAGACAAATTGGAAAGCTGCACAATTGCTTCGATATGTCGACACTCGGTATTTCAAATAAAAGCATAATAACATATAACAACTAAGGTCGTACAAAACTGGTTAAATAATACAATATGTAATAAAAGTTAAATCTAAGTCAGTCACATACGTGATTATGCTATTTCGAAAACAGAGCTTCCACTTTATGTGCACCCTTAACCCTTAAACAACAATCGGTTAATTAACAACCCAAGCAAAGAAATGACAGTTTACTGCATCGTATGTCGTGACGTTTTTTGGTGATGGGTTATTGAAAAAATGAGCTTCACAATGAAACGCTGAAATCCTGAATAATAATATGTTTAAAGTAATCATCATGAAAAAGGCTAAATAGGTCTCATGGGCAAAGTGATGTCAAAATGCTCCATAGTACATGCAAGGTACCTTTTTTGGTAAAGCATCTAACCCTCTCCTTGTACAGATACCCGGTACATTTGGTGCTGTTGTCAGAGAAAATACGATAAACCGTGAGACACATAATACAATACCTAATACGATCCGTCTTTTCGTGCATTTCCTATCTAGAGGCATCATATTGTTGTGTTTGAAAACTAATGTGAATAACAAATTGACAGTTTGTTTTGGCAACCTAGAACGTATAAACAGTTACAAAGGCTGGAGGTGATTCATTATTTCTAACATCTTATCAAATGTCTTCCGGGTATTTTGCGAAGACATAAGAAATGAATTTCATACAAGGTATTTGCTGAATCAGACAAAAGCAATTTATTCTTAAATTTTGAGATATTAGGGAATGGCTTAATGCTTGTCAAAACTCACGAGCAGCCTGATTTATAGTACTGACTTGGGTACCGTGCTGGAATAGATGTCGTGAAAATAATAAGTTGACAAAAACTACAATATATCCGTGTGGGAAATCGAATCCTGGCCTTCGTGACGTGCAGAATGTTTACGTGAGTGAGTGAGTTTAGTTTTACGCTTCACTCAGCAATATTCCAGCTATATGGCGGCGGTCTGTAAATAATCGAGTCTGGACCAGACAATCCAGTGATCAACAGCATGAGCATCGATCTGCGCAATTGGGAACCGATGACATGTGTCAACCAAGCCAGCGAGCCTGACCATCCGATCCCTTCAGTCGCCTCTTACAGACCGCCGCCATATAGCTGGAATATTGCTGAGTGCGGCGTAAAACTAAACTCACTCAATCAATCACTCACTCACTCATTAGCTAAATGCTTTTAACATCTTGGGATGCAGGGTGGTACAAAACATGCATTCATCCAGATACCTTTTCCAAACAGCACGAATACATAGTTGATGTAGGTCTCGGTGGCGGAATAGATCTTCGTCACCGTCTTCCGGTTCTTTCCTGTCCCGGAAGTGTGGTTCTCTGTCCATCTTACGTCAGCGCCCCCGTACAGGTGAAGCCTTATTGCTGCAGAAACAGACACCCAGTCAAAATGGTTGTACAGTAGGCAAGGGACAATTAATATTTCGCCAGTAATTCATTATTTTTATTTCAATCTGAAAACATATCATGGCATGATTATTTGTTTTCCACATCCTGATGCGAACGTGGAACCTGGGAATATGAAAAGCATCATTTCTAGTAGGTCCTAATCTTCACTTCTACTTTTTGAGACATTAATATCGTTTCCAAGATGCAGACATAACGTTACGAAGATTACAGGAATACCGTATTTTCTTCAAGAAGGTCACACGTACCGCTTCCAACATATGATAAGAAGCAGGGTACTCAAATAATATGTTGCTGTTTCCACGATTAATGTGGACTATTCAGCGTTTTTCTGCACAGTGGGAAAATCTTCTTTGGTAGGCCTGGGATAGGGGACACCATAAATAAGCAACGAACTTTTTAGCCACGAGGCTACCCCACCGCTCCGGTTTTAATCATAATACGATGAACGAACACAAAACGAGGAGTGTGTCTCGTTAGCAATTTGTGGCGCTATTTCTTAATAGTGAGTGAGTATGTTTAAGGCCACTTTTAGCAGTCTTCCAGCAATATCACGGAGGGGGACACCAGAAATGGGCTTCACACATTGTACCGGGTAGGGAATCGAACCCGGGTACCCTGTACTTAAACGGGGCGGTGTGATAGCCTAGTGGTTAAAGCGTCCGCTCGTCACGCCGAAGACCCGGGTTTAATTCTCACATGGATGCAATGTGTGAAGCCCATTTCTGGTGTCCCCCGCCGTGATATTGCTGGAATACTGCTAAAAGCGGCGTGAGGCCATACTCATACACTCACTCACTCACTCGTATCCTTCTTTGTGTTTTGTATAACTTCTCACACATGATACTGGTATAATGTTTAAGTACTGTGAGTGAGTGAGTCTACGTTTACAACGCTTTTAGCAATATTCCAGGATTATCACGGCCGGGGACACCAGAAATGGGATCCACACATTGATACCCATGTGGGGAATCGAACTCGGGTCTTCGGCGTGACGAGCGAACGCCTTAACCACAAGGCTACCCCTCCGTTTAAGTACAAGATGCATATAACATGCTAACGTGAACCGTACTTTTCAAGTTTTAAAAGATTAAAAGTAATCAAGAATACCTCTTTCCGTGTGATCTTATATTATTGCTTACATAAAAAGTCGTTTCCCTCAGAAGGATGACTGCAATGAAATATTCTGAAATAGTTATTGTATTTCTGAAATAAACCTACTATGAATCTGAAGATTGAATTCTAAAGGAATACTCACCTAACAATTGTATGGACCATTAAATGCTTGTGGGTGTTGAACAATCGGCTTTAGTCTTTGCCTTAAGGTATCACACGTTTGAAGAGTTTAGTATTTCAGCAACAAGTAAATCCACTAATCGTTTAAGGTAGTTGGGTGGAAAATGGACGCGTAAACAAACGATGCTTTCACGTCGACTAATAGTTTCGATCAGCAAAAAAGGAGACACTTGAAAGACTGACAGTCAAACAACAAGATATGGATTTTGTGTGCTGAGATCGTATGGATACAGAATATGCTTTGGATAGCCAAACACTTATAATGGTACATCCATTATCTGAACCAACATGATTTTTACACGATCGCGTTAGGTATATTATTGGTACGTCGGTCAAATTGACCTTCGATCAATATTTCATATTTTGTATATATCGTGTTGATCTCTAGAGGAAGACTGTGAAGGGAGAACGCGACTCATCTGTTCTTTTCGACACCCTACTATCCCTAAACATAAACAGAATTAATTTGACATCAACGAGGTTAGCATGCTTCTTAAGGTCTGGGGCGGTGGGGTAGCCTAGTGGTTAAAGCGTTCGCTCGTAACGCCAAAGACCCGGGTTCGATTCCCCACATGGGTACACTGTGTGAAGCCCATTTCTCGTGTCCCCCGCCGTGATATTGCTGGAATAAAAGCGGCGTAAAACCAAACTCACTCACTCATTCGACTGAACTATAATGGGAACTGGATGCTTTGAAATGTGTATCAGCAAACCAAAATTGTATTTAATGAAAACTAAGAGCCTGAATCATGTATAGGAAGCATCTCGCAATGCCACAGTCCATGGCGCATTGACACACCCATCAGTGGACATGTAAACACGACTGATATGTACTGATTCCCATATATATTGCCTCTCCAAATATTAGTACCTGTAGGTAGGTGTTTGAACAAACACACAAGAAGTGATTATTCGGTGGTGATGTATATAATACGGATGTCATAGTTGTGTTTTGGACATTATGTTTGCAGTGATAACTGCACATGTTGATCACTGGATTTAAACAACAAACAAACAAACTAAGGCACCAGTATTAGGCTACTATTATTTATCAATAAAATATTATCAGTGGAAAGAATAAGTACGCTGATGAAAATGATAATAAAGATAAATAAAAATGTATGTAAACCAAGAAGGATACCGTAAAGATACTGTTCATGATCCGTTTGATTTCCTTACTCCAACCCCTCTTCAACCAATATATTTTTACACAAACGTACATAAGGACAGGTGGTTGTTTTTGCAAACTGGAATGAGTGATGGTTAATAAGTCGAAATCAATTTAACATGAGCTGTTATTCAATTTTCAGTTTAGAAAACTCTATACTTCTACTTTCTTTAACATTAAAATAAAGATCATTTAAGGTGACATTTTTATCGCTTCCAGAAACATATGTGTCCATCACACAATCGGTATAGGTTGAGCGTGATCAATAATCAGGTATTAGTATTTTCACGAAAGCTATTTATTGACTTCATCTAAATAACCCCTCGTAAATCGCCAGAATTGTGCAGATTATTACACTGGCAGTTTACAATACCACTAGCGTTGCCATGACGATGTCATAAAGCACGAACTTCCGGTCATTTTACAACGACTGAAAATTGACATTAGTGACAGGTACAAGCACAATATCCTGATTGTTTGCACAGATAGGTCAGCTGGTCTGCATGGGTTAATTTTATGTTCCATCAGAGTTTTCATTACACTTAGTTCATTAATAGTAGCGTGGTCTATTTGTCAGGTCAAAGCCACTGCTACGTGTAGCCCTGTGACTGGAGGCTAGCGATAGTCGTTGGGTGTCATTTGTCAAACTATTGTCGTAAATAACACGGCACAGCCTAAATGAACACCAACCTCATAATTCATCAGTCATTCAACGATGATTGCAAAAGCTTTTGCTGTGGCCCCCGTTATTTCGTTGTTGAAATACATGTATTTCAAGTCCATAGATGTGTATTTGAAGATTATAGGCATGCATGTCAAGACTATAGGCATGTATACTACCCGTTAAAGGTTTCGACTCACTAGTGTAAATATAGCCACTTACTTCAGTGAACTGTTCTACACTAGATTTTGAAAAATGTTCCATACTGTTTAAAGGTACTGTTTACACATGAACTGATGTATTGGAAAACAAATTCGTAACGTTGAAAAGAGTATTGTCATGAGATCAATAAATGATGAAACTCAGTGAAAATTAGCGAGTTCTGAACAAAACTTTACGCCAAAACGCAGCTGTTCACATGCACGATATTTGCACCTGCTCTTCAGCAATTTGATGTATGATCCTCGTGCAATTAATCTTCATAAGGTTTGCAGTTGGTTCCCCCCAAGTTAGTGGAGAAATTCATGAGTGAGTCTAAACTTTTCATGGGTAGTATATTTCAAGAACATAGGCATGTATTTCAAGACCATAGACGTGTATTTCAAGATTGTAGGCATCTATTTCAAGACTATAGGCATATATTTCAAGACTATAGGCATGTATTTCAAGATTGTAGGCATCTATTTCAAGACTATAGGCATGTATTTCAAGATTGTAGGCATCTATTTCAAGACTATAGGCATCTATTTCAAGACTATAGGCATGTATTTCAAGATTGTAGGCATCTATTTCAAGACTATAGGCATGTATTTCAATACTATAGACAAAGATGATATTGTCGCACCATCATTTTTGCCGTAGCGCAGTTTCTAAGTTTCTAATGATATGGAAACCTAACGTCAAAATATAAATGAAATCTCAAATTGAACAAAGTATTTTCTTTCCATTTGTATGACACAATGAATTCTAATTGGAACTATATTTATTAGTTTCACTAGTTCACTGAACTATCACAGTGGGTGAGTGAGTTTAGTTTTACCCGCACTCAGCAATATTCCAGCTATATGGAGGCGGTCTGTAAATAATCGAGTCTGGACCAGACAATCTAGTGATGAACATGATGATCATTGATCTACGCAACTGATACACGATGACTTTTGTTAACCAAATCAGCGAGTCTGACAAACCGATCCCGTTAGTTGCCTCTTAAGACAAGCATGGGTTAGTGAAGACAAATTTTAACCCGAATCTGCACTGGAGGTATCAGTAGTAGTAGTAGCAGTAGTAGTAGCAGTAGCAGCAGCAGTAGCAGCAGTAGCAGTAGCAGTAGCAGCAGCAGCAGCAGCAGCAGCAGCAGTAGCAGTAGTAGTAGTAGTAGTAGCATTGTAAGTAGCATTGTTTGCTATTATAATATACTTTAATGCATAATAAGGTAATATTATCTAAAGGTTTTGTTAAATTGTACATTTTATTCATTTAATTTATAAATGTTAATTTTGAAGTAATCTACTTCTAATAGAATTTTCATGTTGTTTTGCTGTAAGGAATAATTTACTCAGCAAGTCTTCAGCTCTGTTTTGTAGTTTTCTGAACCTCACCACGTTAAAGAAAGAAGTATATGACCGCTGAAATGGAAAAATGACGATGAATATACATGAACGTTTAACGGAATAAACTTTGGCGCGGGCGAAAGGATTTTTTGGTGTCTTGCATCCACAAATATGCATGCTGTGTAGTAGTGCATGAAGCAGTAAGAGATTATAAGCTATCGATCTGATCTTATACTCACATGTCTGTATCACCGAACAAGAGATAATGGAAATGTGACAGTGACACGCATCTTATGTCATTACTTGACTGTCAATAATTCAAATGACAAACAAAAGCTATAAAGGATGTCCACACACACAGTGCCAGCGGACTAGTCTTACACAAAATGGAAATGAAATCGACAGTTGTGGTCCTATCAATACTTGATAAGTCAATACATTTTACACCAACACAGTGCGTTTGAAGTAAAATGTTATTTTCCAAAGTTATTCCCAAAGCGACGGTTCCGCCTCAGACAACAAAGTAGTAACCGGTCGATGTTGTATACCTGCTCTCATAACGTATGATATAATGGATATGTGGTTGTCTGATTCCGTATCATGTATTCACTCATGTGAAGACTTAACTAGGATAAAGATATATACCTACAATAAATTTCATTTACTGTTATTGATTTTCTGACATTTAATGCAATCGAGAAAGAGTAATCCATTCATTTTTTAGATATTTCAACATTGTATAGTTTTTACTTGTGCCAATATTATCCAGACAATTGTAAACGATGCTGAAGGATTTCTTAATATTTTATGAATGCGATTGATTTTTGTTTTTCGGTGCGTTTAGTAAACTTTAAGTGGAGTCAGTCTGTTAACAGTCGGGACAACATGGATAATAATCCAGGCTGTTGCAGGTACCATGGGTAAAAAGAGGAGGAGAGGGTGGGGTGGGCTTGGTGGCTATAACGAACAAATCCACTACTCATCTGTAACTGTCTGGTCCTGTCTGCAAATGGAATTGAGATAGTGGTAACATATTTATTGCAAAGATGTCTTTAGTTTGCAAAGTGAACATTCTTGAACTACAGTTACGCCGTACTCAGCAATATTCCAGCTTTATGGCGGCGGTCTGTAAATAATCGAGTCTGGACCAGACAATCCAGTGATCAACAGCATGAGAATCGATCTGCGCAATTGGGAACCGATGACATGTGTCAAACCAAGTCAGCGAGCCTGAACACCCGATCCCGTTAGTCGCCTCTTACGACAAGCATGGGCTACTGAAGATCAATTCTAACCCGTATCTTCATAAACACATGCACGTGATATAGTAGAAACAGCACAATTGAGTAGATGTGGAAAGTAATTTACATATATTTACATCTATTTTTAGGGTAAGAATGTCCTGACCTACACGTAACACCTGCGACTCACATAATTTGGATCCTTGACTGACACCGTACAACAGTACTCTACAGTACGACGGCGACCTGTGAATAACTAATTCTATTAATAAGAATGATCGAAACATGGAAGACTTTCAATATATTCTAATAATACTGTTGGGACAGTTTTCATATATTTTCATAATATATTCTTTGTCGTTATCTCAGAATACACGTATGATATAAATGCTACTGGGTATTACACTGGGTCCACTGACTCAAGAACAGACCTTGTTCAAGCTAACGTATAACGTCAACGCCAAAACATTACCCGTCTCGATCTCGATCTCAACCGCAACATCTTCCACTGGGTGTAAAATGCACAGAAGCAGTGAAAATTGTATGAATGTTTCACAGCAAATTAATGATGCCCCAGGTGCCCTTGCATGTATAGTTACACTTTTGTTGATCTCTAAACGGTACGCTTGAACGCATTCATATCCATGTGATTCACGCCGCTCGTTTCATGATCCTCTGTATTTTAATCAATGTTGCAATCATACACGTCAAAGCATCCCTGTATGCTAGTGACGTCATCCTTCTGCAGGTACACCAACCAACCATCCAACTAACCAAACAACCAACCATCCATCCAACCAAACAACCAACCATCCGACCAACCAAACAAACAACCATCCGACCAACCAACCAACCAACCATCCGACCAACCAAACAACCAACCATCCATCCAACCAAACAACCAACCATCCGACCAACCAAACAACCAACCATCCGACCAACCAACCATCCGACCAACCAAACAACCAACCATCCAACCAACCAAACAACCAACCATCCGACCAACCAAACAACCAACCATCCGACCAACCAAACAAGCAGCCATCCGACCAACCAAACAACCCAACCAACCAACCATCCGACCAACGTATACTTAAGCCAACTAAAGACCTTCAAAGTTATTATGAAAGTCGTCAACGGTATTATCCGTTAGGCTTTTTACAATGACACTCCACGTTGCATTGTTCTATCTTCAGATTGGTAATAATTAATGCCCCTCTATTTCTCTTACAAAACATGCTTATCGGGCGATTTAACACGTTAAATGCACAAAACGTGCATGAATTCAAATGTGCATAGAGACTGATGGAATGAGGTTACAAGCGAACACTGATGGTGACGAGTAAACTCTGTTGCTAAATGCATGTTACAAGCGAACACTGTCAGTGAATGCACGTTACAAGTGAACACAATCGATAATTGAATGTTACGAGTGAACACTATCGGTAAATGAATGTTACAAGTGAACACTTTCGCTAAATAAATGTTACAGGTGAACACTGTCGCTAAATGAATGTTACACCCGAATGTCTTCTGTCACAGACAACAAACACAACACACAGAGAGAGAGAGAGAGAACGAGAGAGATATGCGGTAGGAGAGAGAGAGGGAGAGAGAGAGAGAGAGAGAGAGAGAGAGAGAGAGAGAGAGAGAGAGAGAGAGAGAAAGACAGTGAGAGACCTAAAATATCCGTCAATCCCCACTGTCATTACACTGTTAGCACCAAGGCGAACCAATACTGATTAATGTCTCTACTTCCACTCACCTCTCATTGTCATTTCCTTGTTCAAGTCCACAACAACACATCCCTCTAATATCTGGCCGGGGTTATACACACCTTGAGGGTTGTTTAAAGTTATTTCAAATATGTTCAGTTTACCCATATTGGAAAAGATTATATTCGTCAGGAACGCTGTTCTGTATGGGCTATTAAAGTTCCACACATCCCTGTCGAGTCTTAAAATACGTTGGAACTTGCACCAAGGGCTGTATCACACCAGCGAACATTCCATACTAATATGACTTCTGGAATATCACCGTTACATTCTGTGTCGCTTAAGCTCCGCCAATGACAGCAGTTCCATTCGACATGACTGGAACCGAAACACAGAACAGGTGTCAAACCGTTTTCTGCTCACCGGTCGGCGAAGCGCATTGCGCGAAACAGACCGTGAAAATGTGGGTTGAATTGCGAGCTCAAACCAATACCTGCTAATGGCAGCTCGCGATGGAGATCTTATAACTCTATTAGTATCGAACAGCACATCCAATTCTTTGAACACAAATAATGTTTTTTGTATTTTCTTCTTTGCAACAATGGTAATACCGTCTTTATGCTATTGCTGATGAACGCAAGTATTCACTTCCTCGTTGCCATGGTAACTAGATAAACATCCTGACACGTGGGAATTAGATTTCATCGCATTGACAGCCCTGAGGATTGCCAAGTTGTCGTCTAGCTGTCAATGGATCTGTACACACAGACACAACGCCTTGTCATATCGCCCATTAGTGCATACTCGTCAAGGGCCATCAAACACATCAGCAGGCTGGATCTGAAGCATAGTTACATCCTTTCTGGTCTATATTAATGACTTAATATTGATCTTTAGCTCATATTGTTCCTTCCAGTTATTATTAATTCAATTCTGAAGAGGAAAACATTCTAAAAGGAGTTTTTACAAACGTTGGGAGAACAACAAATATATATCTTGGATTATTTTTTCTGTCGAGGGAAGAGCAACCGTTTCAAAACTCAATTCTTGCTATTACAGGAATTAAAAACCACTTTATATCTTTCATTTGTTGAAGGTCTTCGCAATAAGTTATAGGGGTAGTGGTTGAAGCGTTCTGTCGTAATAGCGATAACCTCGTTCGATTCTAAAAATGGATACAATCCGTGAGGATGATTTCTGATGTTCCCGCGGTGATATTGCTGGAATATTGATAAGACAGCGCAAAAACAAAACTCACCCACTCGTGTATATTGATCAGTAGAGAAAAGGAGTGAGGACGCTACAGTATCGCATCTCTGTGCATCGAACTGTCGCCTCAGACCACAGAGATACAGAGTGAGTGAGTATGGGTTTACGCCGCTTATAATATTATTGCAGCAACATCATGCATGGTTGGGGCCACCAGAAATGGGCTTCACACGTTGTACCTATGTGGGGAATCGAACCCGGGTCTTTTGCTTGTCGAGCGAACGCTTTAACCACTAGGCTACCATACCGCCCACAAAGATACAGAGATCATCACCTGTCCGGTCTACGTGGCTTGTTCCGCTACATTCACGAATCCATCCATCCATATGTATTCCTATGTTCCTACATACCTACCTACTAGAAATACAGACTACAAAAATACATGTATACATAGTGCAGCAACGCTGTTACTGACAGATCAAGCCGTACATCATTCGTACAAAAGTTTCCATGACAGACTTTGCTGTGGTAAGCAAAACAATTATACAATTCGATTTGAAGACAAGCACTAACGGAAACAAAATGAACAGTGGGCGTATCTGGATTAGTACTTCAGCAAGTTTGTGTTGCTCCAAGTGATAGTCATGTGCACGAAACGATTTCCAATACGGATTGGAGACAGAGCTGACCTAGGTCCTTCTGGGTTGAGACGAGGGGAATTAGCGAGTGAGTGAGTTTAGTTTTACGCCGCACTCAGAAATATTCCAGCTATATAGCGGCGGTCTGTAAATAATCGAGTCTGGACCAATCAATCCAGTGATCAACAGCATGAACATCGATCTGCACAAATGGGATACGATGACATGAGTCAACCAAGTCAGCCAGCCTGACCACCCAATCCCGTTAGTCGCCTCTTATGACAAGCATGGGTTGCTGAAGATCAATATTCTAACCCGGACCTTCACTGGTCACGGAGGGAATTAGATTTTCACCAGTGTCACGGGGCAATACACACTGAGTTGTAGACAGTGATGAAATGTAACAACATACTCTTGTCACAGGGGTACACAATGACTAGATTTTCAGTTTTTGTGACAGCCGCGATGACAGAGAGTGTAAGTTCTAACCTCGGTTGTTTGTTGTAGGTGGTTTGTTGTTTTACCCGCACTCAGCAATATTTCAGCTTTAAGACGGCGGTCGTTCAATAATCGCGTCTGGACCAGTCAATCTAATGATCAATAACATGAGCATTGATTTACGTAGTTGGGAAACGATGACATGTGTCCATCAAGTCAGCGAGCCTGAAACACCTGACCCCGTTAGTCGAGCCCCGGCCCAAAATGAGAAAATGTAATACAACATATGCTACATATATGAGTGAGTGAGAGAGTTTAGTTTGACGCCGCATTTAGCAATATTCCAGCAATATCACGGCGGGAACACTAGAAATGGGCTTCACATTGTACCCATGTGAATCGAACCCGGATCTTCGGCGTGACGAGCGAACGCTTTAACCACAAGGCTATCCCACCGCACTGGTACATAGGAGTACTTTCCAAGAGATATTGTGTATTAGGGGCGGTGGGGGTAGCCTAACGGTTAAAGCATTCGCCTCTAATGCCGAACAGCCGGGTTCGGTTCCCCACATGGGTACAATGTGTGAAGCCCATTTCTGTTCCCAGGCGTGATATTGCTGATATTGATAAGACAGCGCAAAAACAAAACTCACCCACTCGTGTATATTGATCAGTAGAGAAAAAGGAGTGAGGACGCTACAGTATCGCATCTCTGTGCATCGAACTGTCGCCTCAGACCACAGAGATACAGAGTGAGTGAGTATGGGTTTACGCCGCTTATAATATTATTGCAGCAACATCATGCATGGTTAGGGCCACCAGAAATGGGCTTCACACGTTGTTGCCTATGTGGGAATCGAACCCGGTTCTTTGCTTGTCGAGCGAACGCTTTAACCACTAGGCTACCATACCGCCCACAAAGATACAGAGATCATCACCTGTCCGGTCTACGTGGCTTGTTCCGCTACATTCACGAATCCATCCATCCATATGTATTCCTATGTTCCTACATACCTACCTACTAGAAATACAGACTACAAAAATACATGTATACATAGTGCAGCAACGCTGTTACTGACAGATCAAGCCGTACATCATTCGTACAAAAGTTTCCATGACAGACTTTGCTGTGGTAAGCAAAACAATTATACAATTCGATTTGAAGACAAGCACTAACGGAAACAAAATGAACAGTGGGCGTATCTGGATTAGTACTTCAGCAAGTTTGTGTTGCTCCAAGTGATAGTCATGTGCACGAAACGATTTCCAATACGGATTGGAGACAGAGCTGACCTAGGTCCTTCTGGGTTGAGACGAGGGAATTAGCGAGTGAGTGAGAGTTTAGTTTTACGCCGCACTCAGAAATATTCCAGCTATATAGCGGCGGTCTGTAAATAATCGAGTCTGGACCAATCAATCCAGTGATCAACAGCATGAACATCGATCTGCACAAATGGGATACGATGACATGAGTCAACCAAGTCAGCCAGCCTGACCACCCAATCCCGTTAGTCGCCTCTTATGACAAGCATGGGTTGCTGAAGATCAATATTCTAACCCGGACCTTCACTGGTCACGGAGGGAATTAGATTTTCACCAGTGTCACGGGGCAATACACACTGAGTTGTAGACAGTGATGAAATGTAACAACATACTCTTGTCACAGGGGTACACAATGACTAGATTTTCAGTTTTTGTGACAGCCGCGATGACAGAGAGTGTAAGTTCTAACCTCGGTTGTTTGTTGTAGGTGGTTTGTTGTTTTACCCGCACTCAGCAATATTTCAGCTTTAAGACGGCGGTCGTTCAATAATCGCGTCTGGACCAGTCAATCTAATGATCAATAACATGAGCATTGATTTACGTAGTTGGGAAACGATGACATGTGTCCACCAAGTCAGCGAGCCTGAACACCCGACCCCGTTAGTCGAACCCCGGCCCAAAATGAGAAAATGTAATACAACATATGCTACATATATGAGTGAGTGAGAGAGTTTAGTTTTACGCCGCATTTAGCAATATTCCAGCAATATCACGGCGGGAACACTAGAAATGAGCTTCACACATTGTACCCATGTGGGGAATCGAACCCGGATCTTCGGCGTGACGAGCGAACGCTTTAACCACAAGGCTATCCCACCGCACTGGTACATAGGAGTACTTTCCAAGAGATATTGTGTATTTGGGGCGGTGGGGGTAGCCTAACGGTTAAAGCATTCGCCTCTAATGCCGAACAGCCGGGTTCGGTTCCCCACATGGGTACAATGTGTGAAGCCCATTTCTGTTCCCAGGCGTGATATTGCTGGAGTATTGCAAAATGCGGCGTAAAACCGTACTAACTCACTAACGTATTGTGTATTCATGCAATAAATCGTTTTCACTCACTCACTTTAGCATGTCACCTTTGATGTAATCACACAGGTTGGGTGCCTAAGTGAATACCGAGGGCCTAGGACTAACTGAGAACCTATTTTTTGGCTTACGACACGGCGTAAATAGTCGAGCTTTTTCACGGTTGTAGGTTAGCATGTTCCCAATTCGCAAACTCGTTTGTTGTTTGTTCACTGCGCCGCTTATAGAAATAGACTGATGCAGATAGCTGAATAATAAAACAAATAGTATCGCTACAATGAAGTTGAGCCGGTATAATCTGAATAATTCAAGTATATATTAACAATAATCATTCCATTTTATTACGATTCAAAATATATTTTGCTTAAATCTTCTGTTCAACAGGGAACGCGGAAAGGTAAAAATATTAATGGTATTGACAGATAGCAAAACAAATGCTCATTGTTTAATCTGTTCTTTAGAGAACTTATTGAGAGTCCAATTAGCATTTTATAAAGTTCAATTTAGTTCTTTTTGAGGAGGAGGAGGAGGAGGAGGCCAGAAGCATCCAAGAAATGAAACAGAGTCCTCCTTCAGTTGCGTGTCCAGTTCTCCATACTCTCTTGGTCTTGGCTGTTGCGCAATCGTTTGACTACATCTGCCCTCATCTGTAACCTCAACTGCGACAATATCTAATATCTTCAAACGTCTGTGGACGCCTTCAATATGGTTGTTGGTTCGAAGACCAATACTGCAAAGCCATCTCGTCCATGATTACCATCCAGGTTTTCTGAACTAGATTTGGGGGAAGATGGATAAGGGCTGCCTTCGTAGGACACAGGCTTCAATCGGGACTTCCTTTTTGCCACTGCCCGTCGCTGAGAGCCTGAGTGGAGTGGAAGGAACAGCTACCAATATCAGCGTCGGGAAACTTCAAAGTTCGTCTAGATGCGTCCTCGTTTCTGTTTGCTGGGATACATCTCTCAAATTATTTTTAAAATGTTGCTTTGATTCAGTTTGCAAGAGTCCTCAGGTACCAGGATACATATGGTCAAGCTATAGACTGTGTATAACATACACCGAAGACAAAAGCTACCTTCTAACGTAAACATGTTTT